GACCAACATATTTATTTTGATTTTCTTGCTGACTCTATTCATTCTACAATACGATGTGGATTAATGCAGTACAACCTGTAAGTAGTAGACAGCGTCGACTATCAATGCTTTCATTAGGTTACATTAGCGTATGTATTATCAGGCATACCATGGCATGAACGTTTTCTGCAAAATAATATTAGCGAAAGTTGGATATAGGATTCATCTATCTGTTTTACTTTTTGATCGAGGGAGCAAAGCATGCGTCACTACGCAAGTCCGTTAGCAATCCCAACTCTCTCAAATAATGACAAAGCGTTTGTCTTACTTCGTCATCTACGTTAAATGTATAAACCTGAAACAACTTAAATGTCGCCAATGCGCGTTTAGTGTAGTCATAGTTAAAAGTCAGATACTCGATTTATCATCCAAACGCCTCCGACTGCGACGAGGACGTCAAGTGTGCCGTCGAATACATTTATACTAGTCGTAAAGTACTTTGTCATAATGGACAGGACTTAGGCTATATACGTATAACCTATCTAACCGAATGCGGAAAACTTTACAAGAATCCGTCAGCGAATCGGTACGCTTCCGATTGAAATGCGATGTCCCACGCCTTATTTACTCAAGCAGCTGTTGCTGGTCGCACCCCTAATCTTCATCCTCATACGCAAATAACCTGCTTTTGTAGATAATGCTTGAGTGTCACAATGCATTTGTAACTGGCATTGTGGCCGTAAAAATCACTATTTTACTGTCGGTTAATTGGTGATTCATAAAGCAGTCGCAGCATCCTTTTTTAAGCCGATCAAGTCATTGGTTTGAGCTCATGTGCTAACGGCGTAACATATGCACATCAACAATTTACCCCGTCAACTCATTTTACTTGTTCCCTTTGCATCAAGGCGAAGTTTTGGCGCTCCTTGCTCCATCCTCGCTGAAACAGCTTGACAATGTTGACTACTGAGGAGATCACATATGGTATGACAAAACGACCAAATGGCGGCCTTAAAATTACGTTCAGGGTGTCTCCGCCTTATTGAAGTAAGTTCATGCCTATCGGCATCTCTCTATCAACCAGCCCGATGTACTTGTACTTAACATAGATTTTTATAGTGTTGGATTACATTTGTCGCTTTTATCCACCCCCTTAGTGTGCGTTATTATTTGAGCTGGCAAGAAAATAGCTTAAGCAAAATCAAAATATGATCTACTCATATTATCTCGGCTCCAACGTCGTCGCGAAGGCTATCGATGCTTATAAATGTCTACCGCTAAAGGTGAAGATGAGAGCAATGAGTGTAATGGAGAAGACGACGGGTAAATTATCTCTTTGCCGGTGCATTTACCAGCGTAAAAATGATAATATTTCGATAAATAAATCGTCATCGCTGTGGTGCACTCAAAACACCCTGCATTTAACGCCAATTAGGCTAGTAGATGAATTTTATATACCTTGCGTAAACGATATATCATTTGCGCACGATTTTATCGGTTAACCGGTACATACGATGAAAAGGAACACTGACAGAAATGGGAGTGAAACCTATTATTACACATAATATGAAGGGCTATCATAAACTGTGTGCATCAGATCCATATGACCTCCTAGTGAAGAACGTGGTGAGCAGAACATTATTTCCCAAACATATCGGCCCCTTTCATATTGCTGACCTCTGGGCAACACATCCATAAGTTAACTGTCATGCAGGATGCGGTAGCATCCCCTGTCTAGTTAAATCACCCTCGGCACTATCGATACAAAAAAGACTTACACAATCGACTAAAACTATATTTAATTTTGATATCGAACTAGGTTCGTACTTCAAAGCGCAAAACTGATAAATCTCCTCGATACTGTGCTCCCTCCTGACATTATGTCTCGAGATTATCGAGAAGACAATTTTGCATCCGCTAGTTCTTCTAGGACGCAACACTTTTTAGACGGAGTTGCAACTTGTGCAATCGATTTAGAAAGTAAAAGTGAAATATACTGAATATTAACTACCCTTCGTTCTTAACCATACCACATGCAGTTGATGACTAAAACTGCAACTTGACCTAGTCAAGTTACACCTAGCACACATCCAGCGTGTCAATACTGCGTGTCATTCCTGGTCCCATATGACGTCCGTATGTATTCGTCTCACCTATCATCTCAGATTAAACTTAGACATAGCGATCTTCTTCCCCAATCCCATTTGTCAAGATGTCACGTCTCGGTCCCACCTGTCAACGTGATAACTAATCAGGTGAGGTTTCCCAATACCTGTCATGGGTCTTGCAGTCTTAACTCCAATCTTCCCTGACCTGTCAGAGACAACATCTTCTAGCAACAAAGAATTTGAAAATTCGCTTGTCAGGTAATTTCTATCTACATACACATTGTTGGGTAACTGTTGAGACGTTGCGCTCGTAACCTAAATCCGCGCATAAATTATCCTTTTGAAGATGAAATCTACCGGGGTCAGCAGCCAGATCGGTAAGGCGCGTAAAAATTTGTGCTACCGCCGCAACCAAATCCGCAATGTTGTAGACGCTTTCACGTTGAGCGCGACCTGAGCTATATTAAATCGAAGGGTCAAATGGGCAAGCTTTATCGGTCGCTCGCGCATTTGTCTCCCTCGTCAAACACGTGCAACCCCTCATTTTAACTAATGGTAAGCGTATATGCCCTCCCCTCCAAGCACTTTGTCGAGAATAATACGATAGGATAGGAGTTTAAGCTGAGAACAAGCGCCCGAAGGGATCGTAGGAAGATAAAAAACGTCGACCCGTTGTGCATTTAGAGAGGGACGCAAGACCTCGACCGGTCAATTATATACGTTTTGCGTCTTTTATACATATATTTCCATTAATCAAATCTATGATCACAGGAGTCGCCCTGCGTGAGTCACGTACTGCCTGTCCATCGACTTAAATTATGCACTATGTATTACCACCGATTGGATTTATCATTTACCAAAAATTTACCTTACCTTATTAATTATCACGCAAAATTCCCTCGACCTCACAAAAGGCGTTTAAAGAACTGTATGGGTGATTTTGTCATACTTCATAAGGTTCTCACGGAGTAATTACAGCTTGGAGCAAACACCGATGTAATATCTCGCTCAGTGCAAAGTTAAGCGCATTGATGTCAATTTTATGCAGTATTTTCACTCATTTGCTATAATTGCGAAGATCATCGCTTGTCGAGAAGTACAAATGACCAAAGAGGAGTCGTGATAGTATACAACTTCTGGTTTTGCAAAGCAACGCGCTATTTCTTTAGTGGAAAAGATACCGAGGCAAAAATTGAAGTGTTCTTGGTCCTTCCAATACGAGATTTGTCCCGTTCCAACAAATCATTTTCGCCTCATGTTTCTACACTAGGAAATGTTGCCTTTCGAGGGGTGGTAGTGAAAGGAGTTTGGGACGCATGAGTTTACGACTGGCGCCAGATTTTGAGGTTTTTGGGCAGCTGAAGGTATTCAGTGCAAGTAGTAAGCGAGCGGTTTGGTTCGGCATCCAATCTTATAGATTGACTGGTTCAGTTGCACAGGTAGCTAGCTATAGATGAGGAAGTAGTAAGCAAGGACGAACAAGACAGAGTTTTATTATCCACATCTTCCTCACGTGCTACCAGTTTAACATCTGCTTCATCCACGAATAGAAACAGTCGTTCCTCCGAAGTAGTCGGTCGACAGCAACGTCTTTATAACGACAGTTGCTCTTCCAATACTATTCGTTGCGGCCTAATTGATCCTAAGTGATATCATCAGGAGTCCTGATTCTACGCTCGCCACGAACAGTGCGGTAATTTTGTACTGGTGAATTTATACTATGTCATCGCAGCTTCCACAACGGACTGAATTTCTGTGCGTCTTATTATTGTTTCACTCTTCGAGTGAATAGTCGTAGACGTTACTTTGCGATGCCAGGTTGTCGACAACACCAGTATTGTAAACTAACAATGATAATTGTATGAATACTACGGTGACTGGAACGGGACACTAGGCGATTAAACTGACACATTCGAATCTGCTTCGGCTGGCACAGTGTAGGCAGATAGGTGCAGAAAACAGCTAACAATTTCGAACAAACACGTTCAGGGAAAGAAAAATTAGAAATCTGACGTACGTATAGTGGCTAAATCTATCAATAAAACCTCCTTTGGTTCCCGGCCTGACTGTATCAAACTCCAAACTCCAAATACAGCTACCTGGTCACCTCCTATTGCGCGCATCTAGCAACGATAGGTGTTTTCGTTCGACTAATTTATCGGCCTATCAATACCAATGAGCATAGCAGTGTCAAACATTCCTTCGACGGCAATATTTCTTCCACTACTTACCGATGTACAATTGGAGGATATTACATATTAAAGATACAATTTTAAGGAGTCAGTTTTTGGTGACAAAGGCATGTCACGGGCTCACCCGTTACGACATCTTCATATAGCCCAAACAGCGTAGCCTTCGACAACCAGATGAGTGCGCCTTTTCTAGGCAGCTCATGACCAACGAGCTCAGCACCTCACGCTTCCGCACGACCATCTCATCTGAATGAATGTATCCTGCACGGGAGGCAGTCTCTAGCAATCATGTAGTCTTTGCTCTGCTTAGCAAGCTTAACGACATCTAGTAGCATGTCCATAAAAGTGATGGACCAAAGGAAGAGCTGGTTGTAGGGCATCCGATGAATCGAACGCACATGGTATGGTCACAACTTTGTCTTCTGTGGTAAGAAAGGTAGTAGGACGAGATCGACTTCGACGAAAGTCAGTCAGCTGTAAAACTTGTGGGACCCGGTACAGCAAAGTAGGACGCGATTGTCACATGACCACCTCAACAACAAGAGTGCGAAGGGAACGTGGTCTTGTGCTTAAAATACATGCACCATGTCGCTAATCCATTACTTTACGCATGAAAAGCAGATGTGTAAACCACTAATTCTTGTGCCGCCGCGCCTTGTGGATGCAGGCTGGTGCGAACCAAAGCAGATACGCTCTGCTACTTCATTGCGTCAAGGTCCCTCTACCCGTCATGTTGGGACTGCTGTGGCGAGCCTGTGACGCCCCTGTCGACTCGCTTGACCACTAGCTTGTAGCCCGGTCGGATCTCGCCGCTGTATCCTTTCGGAAAGTATGCGCGATTATACTCGCGCATGTCGTCGTACGTCATACCATAGAGCCTCGCCAGTCCTTCAGGAGTCTCACCGGGTTGCACGACGTGAATCTGCTTAGTGAGTATCACTTCTGCAATGTTGCGCCGACTAGTGCTTGCTGCTTGTTGTGCCGCCAACAGATCCGGCACAATCACGCGCTCACCAGGCACTAGTTCAGCGCGTCGACCGACGGGGTAGCGGCCGCGATTGATCTGCAAGAAGTGAGCATACGGGATACTGTACATCTCGCAAATGGACGTGAACGTGTCCTTCGAGGTGACTTCGTGGGTTTTGTACCGCGCAAAAGCGGCCGATGAGCCCACGTACGTGACATCCTGTTGCCCCACGGTATGGCTCTCCACGCCATTGTCTCGACTGCCAAGAGCGTCACTTGTCTCCATCTCGCCCGTGTTCATCAGCCGCACGTGTAGCAACTGACCGGGACACAAGTGACTGCGCTCGCCCGGAGGGAAGTACCGGCGGTTGTCCTGCCGCAGAATCTCTTCCGTCGTGTTGTAGAGCGCCGCAATGCCGCGCAACGTCTCGCCCGACCGAACGAGATGCATCTGACCCCATCCATAGTCGATCGAGTCGGGTGGCGGCGGCAACGAGACGGCACGTGCCTCTTCCACGATGAGCTCCTGACCTGGGTACAGCTTGACGTGCTTCTTCTTGCGCCCCAGCAGCGGATTGAGTGCCAGGAGCGCCTCTTCCGTCGTCTGTGTCTTGTGCGCGACCGTCGCCAGCGTATCGTTCGGCTGCACGTGGTAGCGGAAGGGCGAGAGCGACGGCGGCGGCGGCGTCTGAGCGGCGCGCGAGCGGCTGCCACTGGCACTCGAGCTCAGTGTGCCGTACATGCTGCTGCTGGAAAGGATCCAATCAGATACGGAATCAGATGGCGCTGGATTGGACCTGATTTTGACGATGAGGCAGTGGGGCGTTGTGGGACAGTATCGAAGTTGGGCGACGTTTGTGCTACTGTCAATATAATTTTTAGTCATTGAGGACAAGACGTCGCAAAGGAACAGGTTGTAGACTGCGTGTGGCAACTGCGAAGTGCGACGATACGTTATTGATTCATTGGCTCACCACGCACGGCCTGTGATGATCGGCGATGATCGTCGGCGACTACAACACGTCCTTCGAATCGGACTGCATGTCAACTTCTGACACAATCGTCACGGCATTCCTCTGAGAAGCCAACCCATGGGCTGCTGCGACATCAACATAATAGCTGTAAACAATCATCACGAAGTAAAGTCGGTATGCTGTACGATGACTTCATGAAGACAGTGCACGTATTCATTTACATTGCTACAGTGACTTCTGTTCTCGCATACACGCACTACTGAAAGCTCGTCATGTCGCTCGACTTCTCGAAAGTAGAGAACAACCCCATGCCCGTGATTGCCCAGACGTACGACGCGAATGTGGCTTTCGTCATATACCGCAACAAGAACAAGAACGTGGTCGTGTATGCCGCACGGCTGCTTGGGGATGGCACATTGGACCCGAAGAACCCGTTGGACGTGTACTGGATCATGTTTGAGCAGGACGGCGCGCCCCGTGAAGAGCTCAACCAAATTGAGCGCTCGACCGCGTACGGTGCGACTGCCAAGCCGTGCGAGGGTCATCCGGGTGCGTACAAGGTGACGCTCACGTCGCTGAAAGACCGCGTCGTTTATTTGTCCATTGTAGACGGCAAGCCCGTGAGTCTGGGATCAATTAACGGCGAAGAGGGCTGCACGTTTGAGCGCGTGTTCGTGCAACAAACTACATTGTGGGGTATGCCCAAGGTACAGCATATGGAGGTTTACGGCCGGGACGCGTCGGGGAACGTCATCTCGGAGAAGAAAATCATGTAGACGAGCGGGCTTGGCGACTTGTCGGCTGGAAAAAAGTACGGCGGGTGTTCAGCGAACTGACAGCCGACAATGTCGACGAGCGGGGCACACACACACGCACACTTGGGGCAGACTTGGAGTGGCGCTCGTACGTGAAGTGAGCCCACGTGCTTTCGACATGCAAGTCATTGAAGAAGTCGACGAACGTCTTGAAGCCGGTTCATCCACTTGTATAACCTCACACGTTGTATGATGGAAAAAATTAGGGTCGACACTGCTTAGCACATCGTCTAGAACAATAACTGAGGTCCACGCTAAACTTGGTCAATACAAAGGTACAGCAAGTTTCGGTGGTGTGGAAAGACTTGGCCCATGGTTGCGCTGATGATGGGAGTTGGAATACTTTGCGGCAATGGTACCGAGGTTCCTACTGTCGCGCGATTTGATGCAATTTTTCGATTTCTCCTTGGATTCGGCTACAGCTATTGGCGATTGATGCCTGCTTGCTACCCCCTATTTGCGCGCATTTTTAGCCTTCATGGGACGCCTTGGTGGCTAAGGATGCCATGTGCTGCCGGATGGGCAATAACATTGTCGAATCGACAATGCTTACATTAGTGTGTGGCGTAATCGCAACGTCGTGCAATAGGCTTACCCCGTTTCACACGGCATGTTCATGATTGTGAGCAAACGATGAAGCAAAATACATGACTCTTGTGAGTCTAGGCTCCGTATGCTGTCGACATGCTGTGGTTTTCTCATTTTTATTAGCAGCTAATTTGCAATCAATATCGGATTTAATGCTCGTCAAAAAGCAGAACAGGGACCAAATATGAGTGGAGCTGGCTGGTGCTGGAGTGGTCGACAGGCTGCGATCAGATGCGCGAGCTTCTCCCATTGCGAACTTTGCCCCGCTTCTGTTGGACCGAACTTTGCCCCACTTGTGTTGGACTGAGCCATGCGTCTGCTTTGCCCTCTGTTGACGGCCACCGGTATCTCTCTATCGACAGCTGCTCGCTCAACGACCGCGAGCGGTGGTGAACCGCACAATACTGCTCGATACTTGCCCGCTGTCGTTTCCCCCTCCAAGATGAACGCGTCTGTCGCGCTGGAACTCGTGAAGGTCCACGGCAACGAGGAAGGGATTGACCGCGACCGTCAAAGCGACGAGGAAAGGGGCGAGCTTTCGCTCATACCTCTGACCGAAGTGTTGGGTAAAGCGGAACCCCTGATCCAGGCTACAGAGCACAGCTCGCTGTCCATGCTTGAACGGTTGAAGGCCAAAGCAGGAGAGAGTTTTGAGCGTGCCCACGATTGGCAGCTTCAGGAGTGGGCTCAAAAGATCGATGCGTATCGTGCTGGGCATCCTGACTGTACTGTGGAGGACGAGGTTGAGCACCTGCTGACGATAAACCCGGGTGCTCGTACGCTGGCGAAGGTTTTTCATCGGTTTCGAAAGGTGGATGGCATGCAGAGTCGTGCTGATGAACTGCAACGAGCGCTGGTTGCGAAAAACGAAGACGTCGCACGTGGCATGATTGCTGTATGGCTGAAAGACGGAGTGGACCCTGACGTAGTCTACAGTATGCTGCCTATCGCATTGAAGAAGCCAAGTACAGACAGCATGGAAGCGGAGGCCGTCAAAGAGTGGCTCCTGACGTGGATAAAGTATGTCGACAAGCATGCTAAGCTTGGTGGCTCGTACGACGACGCTGCCACAGTTACGAAACTGGTGGATGAGTGGGGGGAAAAAGAGTCGGTGGATTTCTTGCTCAGTCTTCAAAATGCTGGTATCAAACCTCGCATCGACCGCTTAACGGGTACGCTGAGTGAGAAGTACCCGGATACCCTGAAGTTGATGTTTGATGTGTGGCTGAAGTCCAATACGGATCCTCTCGTCGTCTTTGACATGATGCCTATTGGAACGAAGGGTGATCTCATGGGTAGGCTTCATCGTCGTGATTTGTGGGAGGAGATCGCGCGTGACCTCTCTCAGTGGCATGAGTATGATATGATGCATAGCAAAAAAGCATTTGAGGAATCCGACGGGAAAAACGGCCAAGAACTGTTGAGCCTACTCAAAACCACAAACCATGTGATTAATCTGCTCTTGCAATCCAACAAACCGAGTGATGTGGTGGAATTTGCCGAGTATCTCCGAGCGTTGAAAGGATGGGGTCATCTCGTTTTTGAGCTGGAGCGAAAGATGTTTTCCGAAGCTTATTCTGGATACCCAGCTTTGTTGTATGAAAAGTGGGCGGAGATAAACTTGCCTCCTCATGCCGTGTTCAACTCGATGCCCATTTCAACTGTCCGTAATTACAATCCAGAGAAAGAACTTGCCAGGCCTTTGGAGAGAAAATTCATATTTCTGAAGCAGTTGCTGAAGTACGTTGACGATGACAAAGTTACGTTCATTGACCATCGAGACAAGAGGATCGATACAAAAGACAAGATGGTGATCGCACTACTTAAGAACATGATTGGTTCCGCGTCTCAACTGAAAGCTTTTCTTGAGGATTTTGGGAAACGTGGAATGAAGGATCGCTCAGACCGACTGGTGACAGCGCTGGAAGCTTTTTTAAAAACGCGTCCTGCACCTAAGCAACGGTCGCCCGAGGATCTCAAGTTGCCTAACCCACGGTCTCCAGGTATAATCCTTCGTATCAGCTAGACATAGTCGGTTGATGCGCGAGACGATCTAGAACGACCTACGAGTGATTTCTTTTGAATGCATTTGTTTGAACGTTGGCCAGTCAGTTTGTTTGTTCACATTAGTTCCTTTCTTCTCCATACTTCTCGAACATGCATTCACAAGCTGTTTTACCTTGAGTAGATGCAATTATAGCGCAGAATTGCATCCAAGCTTCGGCTGCTCGGTATATTCTGCCGCACCCACATGTTGTGCACCCAATCAGACGTAAATGTGGCAACTTCTACAGACTGAAAGTTTTGCACGGTTCTGAATTGCGATTGTACGAACGATTTAACAAAAGTTGCCCTTTTCACGTTTTCGTGGTGCGCACTCTATGCCTCCTCGGAAGCAATCCCTTCGCTACCGCCTTGCCGACAAGTTTTGACCTTGGCCGCGAGCTCTCGACGAGAGCTAGCCAGAGTCAATCTTAAAAGCTGGCTTGCAATTTTGAATACATGCAATACAAGAAAAGGCTGCTGACATGTGGTACACGCACACCTCATTGTATTCAAAGGACATTCGACTGCATGTTTCGTTTCCAGTACAATACAAAGTGCCAAATAGGTCACTCGATGCACTGACATTTTCTCCTTTGTTGACATACGCGTCGGTCATTTGATATACGTAACGAACGTTGGCCACGCAGGGTTGCCTCGGCTTGGCGACGCGAATGACGCAACTCGGGCATTGCCGAGGTACTTCGTGCCGCTTCCTTTACAGCACTTTATGCACGGCATTATGATTGCAGTGCGAGAATGTGCTCGATATTAGGTTGAGAGCATTCTCCGCTCTAGCATGTAGTCGAATGATGTTAGCATTGCTGTTGACGGTAGGGTATACTTCGCAAGCCGGGCCTTCGTGAGCGTCGGTGTCCTTCTCAATCAAATGGAAGTGAACACGAACGTGGCGCTAGGTACGACCTGTGCATTAAACGAGGACATCTAAGGCGCTTGTCTTGATGCCAGAGAAGTTGCCAACGAAGTTGACCATCGAATCGGAATAGTTGCTGGTATGCATCTTTGGGTACGACACGCTCGTCCATAGACAGACCGCAACATTACTCTGTAAGTAGAGAAATCCATGTCGGAGTGAAGGAGGGGCTGAACAAGACATTAGCTCTCCCATGGGTGACAGGCTAGAAACGATTACCAAAAGATGTGAAATGCTTGACTCTGAACGATCCACCTCTTGTCCTACAGGTAGAGGGCGTGAACAAATACTGACGCCCTGCCCTCTCACACAAAGAACAAATGCACGTGTAAAACTGCCGGTGGATAAGTGCACGTACCTGCGGTCTCGACCGTCTCCAGGCAAATCACTACTGTCCATTCAGAGCTGTTCGCAAACGAAGGGAGCGAAAAGACGTGTCTTGTTTTGCGGTGATGTCGCACGGCAATCAGCTCCGCTGCCAAATACTGGATATGTCAACAAGGTGTGGTACTTTTCTTTATGCAAAAAGCTGGCGTCACGACACTGAAGGGCTCTAGTCACGTCTGACTGGAAAGCTGCGTCTCACAGCTTGCTAGTCGGACATTGCCAAAGTTGTATCTACGGCCCATCGTTTTGTCTGCGTACAGCAGGTCGAAGCTGTGCAAAGCCTCACCGGATATCACAAAACGCAAGGGTACCCAAACAATGACTTTCACTCCGTCGGGGAAGTTGTCTGATCGTTTACAGGTCCATGTGACCCGTTGTACGTCAATCTACTGCACTCGTGCCGTCAGTATTGTCCAGAGTAGCAGCGCATTCTATTGCTGCTTGTGCATTGAGACGTGATCTGCTTAAAGCGACGTAGCAAAACGGCAATCAGCTGCTCGTTGCACTCGCCAAACAGACTCGTATACCAACTTTGATGCAGTTCCAAGCGCTGTCACAGTTGGACGCGGTCCGCCAAAGCGGTACCTCTTTGTCCGGGAGAAATCTTCTTTTCACCCTGTCAAGCACCTCGAGTGTCGATGCGCCATCACGATCCCGATCGCGCCAAATGTCATTCTTGTCGTCAAGTCTGCATGTTTTGATCTCTTTCATGACACACAGTCTGTGGAACCTTGAATTGGGAAGAAACGTCGTCTATGAATATCAGCAAAAGTTCTATGGTACTAACTGCTCGCACAAGTAGATGCAAGATAGATTAGCCGTGAGATGCATCCCGCAAAGTTCCTCAGCCAACAACAATGGGAAGAGCAGATTGTTTACGAGTGACTTTCGTTATCGAGCGCAACGAGATCTAGCACGTACAGAAAGGTATGTACGGCCCTTGCTCGCACGATTAGCGCTGCTCCTAATGCGGGAACGACTATCAGAACACAAGTGACCGGTCGACAGAATGCAAGCCTCGTTTGCCGAGAGATAAAGTTACCAGACAGTTCCACGCCAGCTTTGATCAAGCGTAAGTCTTGCGGACAACGGCGTGTTGAACCTTCATCCGGTTTCAGGCGCACGAGCAGTGATCGCACCAGTGCTGCTTCAGTAGCTCCTATCTGGGACTATTTACCTGCTGGAGGTCGTTGGTTCCGATGTCTTGGCTCGATCTCGGATTCAAAGTCAGGCTCGCTAGCGATCTCTCTGTTGGCCAGGAAGGCTGTACCAGCATTCACTAGACAAGGTCTCGCTTGCTGACGAACAAGGCACGAAATACGAGGCCGACATATGCGACTTTATTCGAGCATGTCAAGCCTTGACTACCACGTCGTACTGAGTGAAGCTGTTTTCGGGTATGCAACAAGCAATGCCTCGCACACGGTACCAATGGCAAGCCACCCTCGCGTCACTCGAAGCAGAGCACGACGCTATCATGGAGAAGCTCGTTACTCGTCAACCTCGACGACGGCCTCGATTTCCACCGCCACGTTGAGCGGGAGGGCGTTCGTACCCACAGCCGAGCGGGCGTGGATGCCCTTGTCGCCAAATACTTTGCCAATAGTGTCGGACGCACCGTTGATGACAGCAGGCTGCTGCGAGAAACCATCGACGCAATTGACAAACCCCACGAGCTTCACGATGCGCTTGATCTTGTCCAAATCACCCACTTCCTCTGCAACAACAACAGCAACAACAGCAACAACAACAACAACAACGCAGAGATTGAAAAGAGCGTCAGCGCCGTCTCGTTGTTTGCTGGCGAATAAAGTCCGTGAGCACCGCACGCTTGAGTGTAGCCATGAGGCTGAGCGCCACGTAGTGCGCAGCGTCATAGCCCTGCTCCGGCGTCAAGTCCTGGCCAATCTTGCCCAGGATGAGGTCCCCGCCGGCCGGCTGTGGCAGATGACCAGCCAAGTAGATCGTGTTGCCGGACCGCACCGATGTGCGGTAATTGCCCTTGGGCTCGGCCACCGCCGGCAGCGTGTAGCCCAACTCCTCTAACTGGCGCTCGACGTGCACACTGCGCGCGGCCGTCGCGAGAGCGCGCGGCTTTGCGGCGCGGATCAGGGACAGCATCAGCGTCAGTGCAAAGCGAGAGGACGAGCGAGCGAGAGGGAGAGCGAGAGACAGCGACGGCGGTCGAGCGAGTCTGTCAGTGGGAGCTGTTGCACCGATCCGATGGCAGGCAGTCAGTCAGTCAGTCTGTCGTGCATCCAAACGGGTGCGATGACGACTGTTGTTACTTCAGTTGGTCCCCAGAGTTCGCGCCCGAGCAAAAACGACGCGATACATGTGGACCACACGTGGTGCTGCTGCTACTTCCCTGCACCTTCGAGTTCAGTAGAGCGAGCACTAAGGTGCATAGCTGCTGACCGTCACGATCACCGCTTGCTCAAGGGACGAGAAGTGTCACGAGAGGGCAGAATAGCGCCTGGTGGCGACGCTGAACTTGCGTCAATACGACAGTGTGCAGCTTTGGTAGTGCCTGGTCACGCCCACCTATACGCAGTGCGTATGCGCAGTGAAAGCAGTGAGCGACGAGGCAACCCGACCTGCGATCCACTTGATCTCCTCTGTAGCCGTTTCGATGGCGGTCGACAGGTCTGGAAGCAAGCCGTAGCACCGAAAATGTAAGGACAGGCTCTGAGCGAAGCATTGGTCGTTTCCAAGCAAGAAAAGAAAAGGGCATACCAATCGACGACGAAGTGACGTCGGAGCTGAAACGTCTGTTGTCTCATGTGTGCTTCGGCGGCAGTCACGAACTAAAATCGGAAGCAGAAGCCAGTATGTAACGCCGTGGACTCCAGTCCTGGTGCAGAATGCTCACGGTGACATATTGCACCCATTCTACGCAGCTGGAGGCCACATTTACTGTATAGCACATCGCTATTTTGACCATGGGCCTGGTCGATGGCAGCATGCGTGGCATACACTTTCGACCAGCTCGAAAATGGCGCAGCAAACTTGCCGAGCGGGGAGCTGTACCGGAAAGTTGCTAGGATCTAGCTTACCATTCATTCCTTCGACACGTGCGCTCTTTTTGACACGTCCCGGTCGATTTTACTATAATTGCAAAGTGACCCTTAAACTCGATTGAAAACGGACAGCACGAGACTATGCGATGGAACATTCTGCCTGTAGTTGGGTAAATCGAAAGAGCGACAATTCCTACGTCGTGGCGTCGCAAAGGAACAGGTTGTAGACTGCGTGTGGCAACTGCGAAGTGCGACGATACGTTATTGATTCATTGGCTCACCACGCACGGCCTGTGATGATCGGCGATGATCGTCGGCGACTACAACACGTCCTTCGAATCGGACTGCATGTCAACTTCTGACACAATCGTCACGGCATTCCTCTGAGAAGCCAACCCATGGGCTGCTGCGACATCAACATAATAGCTGTAAACAATCATCACGAAGTGAAGTCGGTATGCTGTACGATGACTTCATGAAGACAGTGCACGTATTCATTTACATTGCTACAGTGACTTCTGTTCCCGCATACAGCCACAAGCCAATCCTGCTGGGTGGTATCCACTGCGATGTAGCTTGTGACTTCTATTGAACACTCAGCCACCTAGACTCGCTGTCGATCGATGTGGTGGTCCGAGCCATTGTCGTGGTCGAAGGATATCGTTCGCTAGTTGCTGAAAGGTAGTAGCACTCGGTATGGCTGCCATCAGTATAGGCCACCAAATAGCTCGAAGTACCATTTGTGATCCGTCCAGCAGTGTGCACCAGTCGCTGATAATCGCAAATATACATCGCCGCGCCTCGTTCTTTGATGCAGTCTCAAGTTAAGTCCTGCAATCTGCCCTCTTACCAACGACCTTCACTGCGACAGTGCGAGCGAAGAAAGACAAAGCTATCACGCGTTGATGTCGAGTCGATTCGCAAAGCAGGTTGTTCCCACGAGTTGTGTGTTTCGTGAAGATGTATTGGACCATTTAGGTTTGCCAGCGATATTCTTGCTATCAATGTTCGCTTTGCGTGTCTTTCGTATCCTCTATCCATCGGGGACCTAGGTGCGGATTCCATGGCGCCGATGACGACGGCGCTCCGATGTATCGGGTGTTTCATGTCTCAGATTCGGCGGCGTCAAAGTCGATGCGGTAGCACTGTCACCATCGTTGACCGAATCATCCGAGTTCGAAGTGGCAGGATGGTTTACCGTGTACGTTGTAGTAGTTTGAGACCGCTCGACAGTAATCGATTGCGAATGAATCTTGGCTTCCTCATCCTTCTCTTCGACTTCTTCTTCTTCGTGCTCTTGTTCTTGCTCATTATGATTGGCATCGACGCTTTCCTTTTCTCTACCCTCCTCAACTCCAACATAAATCACTTTAGTCGCGTCGACTTTGATCTTTGTCACTTGCTCGACAACCTTCAAACTGGCAGTAACATCCAAACAACCGTCTTCGTCCGAGCTATCGTCGGGCAGCAACACCACTTCTTCGGCGCTATCTACGTCAGCAAGTTCGTGCCACCGCTTACCTCGACGAGGTGTACGGGTGGAAAGACCATGCTTTCGATGACGAACAAAGAAATGCACCGTCAGTGCTGAAAGTGCCAAGAAAAGCATCGAAAACAGACCGACATGCATCCAAGTAGGAGCCGGTAGCATCGATGCGGTATCGCCAGCAATCGTTTCTGTAGACTTGGTCACATCGACCGCCGCAGCTTTGCGCTGCACGGATACCGGGCTCTCCACCGAGTCCTGGCGCCCAGCACGTGCTTGCTCAATATGCAGCCACAACCCCTCTTCTTCAGCGATGACGCGCAGCTCTTCTTCGACGAGAGCACGGACGCCTTTCTCTTGCAACACAGCCTGTTCGAGTTGCTTTAGCTCTTGGAATTCCTTTGTCATTGCCATACGCTCCGTTGTCACAATATCGGCGTCAGTCAGTATCGCTGCATGATCGTCTTTTTCAGCGTGCCCGCGTTCTGTGTGTGCCCGCCAGGCTTCATTAGTCGCAGTAGCAGAATCACCATGCAGATCCATCTCCGTTATAGATCCAACGTGGCTGTGACTGCTCACCAATTGTTCATCCACTGCACGCTTATGTTCTGCAAGCCTTGTCGTCGTGCCATCCATGTCCACATCTACGTTGAGTAGGTAGGTGGTAGCTACACCCACAGCTTCTTCGTCAACTTGTTGCTCAAGCGCGGTCATCTCTATCTTCTGAACTTCGATAGAAGATTCTCTCTTGATCTCAGCTTGAGATACGATACGCACTCTCGTGTCAACTCGAGGCGAATTCGGGTGCGCTTGGTCAATGCTGTGATCACCGATTGCGTTCGGCACAAGCTTCTTCATGCCAGTTCCACTATCTGGTGCTTCGGCTTGTACATCTGCTCGATCGTCCAGTCGTAGCTGCGCTTCTTGCTTAGCACTATCTTCTTCAGATACATTGCCCACTTTGGTCAACGCCATTGCTTCCACTTGCGTCTGATCTACCTCTACCAAAGCGTCGCCACAATCCACGGCGGTTTCCGTGATTATCGAGCTTCGTACCTTACCGACAGTATCGTCCTGGTCCGTGTATTCTACCGCAACATTCAGCATATTCCGTTCAGCAAGCTTGGCAATTACCACGGATCGACCATCAGTGCGCTGATCGCCTTCACCATTCGTTAGCAATCTCGATTGGTCTGCTTCAGCTACCTCAGAAAGCGTAAGAGTCAGCGATTGAACTAGCTCCCCACTGACGCGCTCAATCCTCACTGTTTTTGCCGGGTCACTGTGTCCTATCATTTGTGCTTTTGTGACATCAACGGTCGGTAGACATCGTCTGGCGACGTCTATCAGTGTTTGGTGAACCTCCTCGATGGTAAAACTGCTGCCCAAAACGCCTTCAGCGAAACGTTGCTCTCTCAGCCGCAACCATTCTGCTGTAAGTCGTCCAGACACCCGACCTTCCCCAGCAAGTCGGCCGGTCATACGATCTTCGTCACGAGCACATTGGAACTGCAATGTACCATCAAAGAAAGCCTGATCTTGTGACACGTCAGATCGCACCAGCTTGTCATCGACGGACAGGCCGTGTTTCGTGTTATCTGCTGCACTTCGAGTGACAATCAACGACTTGCCCTCTTCTACGACTTGCTGAGAAGTGAGCTCGTAGTCCTTCAGTGCCTGTTTAATTGCTCGAGCATATTGTTTGGCCACTTGCTGTGTACGTTCCTCGATGTATTGCAGAGCGACCGTTTTCACGTCAATGATACTTTCGATTGCTACAGCCCGAGTATCTGAAATGATGGAGTTGGTGGTAGCTGCAATCGCTACCCGTCGTTTCTCGAAACGCTGGACGTCATGTAGAGCTTGGGACTCACGTGCAACAAGTCCTCTGCCTATGTTTTGGATACGAGCCTGGTGCGCTGCTAGCGAATCAAGCAACTGCTCGCGGGGCAAATCCATATCGCTCCTAGTGGGCTCCAGTCCTAGCCGCTCTCCACCTTGCCTCATCGCCTCTGCAAAGTTTGAGAATGCCATCACGAGGAAAGCATGCACTTGCTCAAATGCCTTGTCATACGCTGGTACGTGCATGTCAATCGAGCACATCCACTGCATCCACAGCTTTAGAGTATCCACCAAACTCGAGAGTGTCCGTCCAAGCTGTTCCTGCACGCTCTTCGATAGTTCCGCTAGCATGGCTACGCATGCGTCCGCCTGCACCGTTCCTACGACGCCGTGCAACTCCATGGCACGCGCTGCCTTTCTCAGTATCCTGCTCCTTATCAATGCAAACCAACAAATGCGTGCTTTTTCCGCTACGTGTTGACCTCCTTGTCCCAATTTGCTCTGTGCAAGTAGCAGCAGCATGCGCACACCTTCCTCCATTTTGCATGCAGCAACGTAACCCAAAGTCGATGCAGACGACGACGGGAACATCCACCACCAGCCCACTCCACTCGCCACAACGGCAACGACTGCAACGACAGTTAGTGCAACCGCCGACTCGCTCCACCGGCCGTTGTGCTCGTTGATCCTCACCACTGTCGCAGCTTCGGTGCTCTGGTCTCGTCCCATTCGTCTCCTGCTCCTTTCAGGTGCTGTAGGCCCTTTCCCAGACCCAGCATTAACTCCTCTGTCTTCTTCCCTGAACTCGGTATGGATTTCTCTCTCAACTGTCGCGTGGACAGCAGCGATGTCATCACACAGTGCTTGTGGCAACTGCACAAGTGGGTCATCGGCTTCGTCAGTATCCTGGAGCTGCTTTCTGGCAGCGTGCACGTCGTTATCGCTGGACCTCTGACGCTGCCACTCGTTCGGCCGGTTCATCTCGCACGTCTCTTTGGCCGTAGCAGCGCCTCGTGCGCTCGACATGATGCGCGTAGCGAAGCAGTGACACGTTGGGAAGGGAACCTGAAGAGCTACGAATGTCTTTTCCTTGTGGACTCACTCGAAAGACCTTTTTTTCAACGGACTGTTTTGTGTTGTGCAGCTCTTCTTCTGTCTATCACTATCGACCAACGAGACGATGTTCGGGCTTTGTCAGTAACATTTTGTGCCCCAATTGAGGTCACACTTATGACCACTGGAATCAAAGTAGCACCTCATGGTGAGTGAGAGGGTCTGCGTGTGTGTACACGTATGAAGCAGACATGTATGGAGCAGATATGTATGGAGTAGACATGCATGGTGCAGCCACTTAGCAAGTCACTATACTTCATGTGCTGATCTCCTTGTTGAGCCACGAGTCAAAAGGTAACGTCACATTGAAGATAATAGATGACTTTCGCATGTGCGCGTGACGCTCGTGAAATTGTTGCTCCTTCTTTCTTGCTCTTTATTTGCATGTGGTTTGTGCGATCGTCACCTTCACTAGTCCAGCACTGCACATAAACAACAACGACATCCATTAGATGACCTTTGCCACATAAACCCAGGAGCTTGTCCTTGCAAGCGTGTGGTATGTTCGTTTTGAGTATCATCAGCAAGTCAAGCGCAATAGCATGAACAACAACAAATACTGTGACTGCTTCACTTTGTATGCGCTAGAACTCGCTCATTGTTGCAGAGCTCGCACAAGCCAAAGACCCATCGTCTACAAGAGGTACCTCCGGTGAACTGGTCACATGAGCACATCCAGTAGTCGGTTGCCTCGGTGGTGGTGAGATACAAGCAGCCTTGCAGCCTTGGCGGTCGTGACATTTCCAGCTTCTTGTGTGCAACTGTAGAAGCGAGACCTACCGTGCTGTGGCGCTCAGCCTTTCGTCGGAACTTCTAGGGAGGTCTGAGTTCTTGACTCGAGTCTTCTTACGGCTTGGCGGCTGATGAAAGTCGTCTGAACTTGACATTACAACATTCGTGTCATCTGAGGTCTTCACGACACTCGCTTCAACGATTGACCCAAGATCGGCAGAGTTGGGAAGCACGAGACTTCGTCGTCTATCTCGCGCACGTTTACGCGTTGCTGATAGACACAAAAAGTATCGCACTGTTAGTTTGTAAAGCAAAGGAACAGCAACACGAATGGCTGAGTACCTGTGTCACGGGTTATCAAGCGGGACTGATTATTTGCACGACTTCGTTTTGCCTGGTTTGCGTAGTGTCCAGACACCTGGTCAAAAGCGCTGGACCAGCTGTTCCAAACGTTTTCCCGAGCATCGTTCACTGCAGCTCGAAAAACCACATCTTCACCGTTACACACGATCTTCTCGGATATCGTACGCTCTGCTCCGGACCCGAAAAAGTCGTTATCAATGATGCAACTCGAGCCGATATCAATTCCTAGTGTTGCCATAAACAACGACGTTGCTTTCTTCCCCGACTCCGAAGGCTCAGATCGTTGCGCTACTCGTTCAGCAACCGTGTCACGCGACTTTCGTTCGTGCACCTCGTTTTCTTCATCACGTAATAGATGAAGCACTGGGTCGACCTCGTGCGCATTGGTATACTCCAGGTACCGTTGCTCATAATCCCGCAAAGGGATACGGGTGCCCGTAACAGTGTCAGTGTACTCGAACAGTCCGTGTTCGTTTCGACGATGCTTTGCTTTCGTATGCATTTCACGCTGCGAGTCTGCGTCTTTCCACTCCTGGTTTGCTCGGTTTAGATAAACCATGAGCTTGTCCAAGGTTTTCTTGCGGTACTCTGGATCGGCGGAAAACTTGGGTACCTGCTTTGTCATGGGTCCTAGATGATATCCAGTGTTCGCATACACCTGCTCAGCAATTGCGTATCCTTCAGCACTCTGCTCGTCCAGCTTTGTGTACCTCCTCACAAAGCGTCGGAGCTCTTCTTTTTTTCGTTTCGACGTCATCTCGTCAGTCGTCTCCATAGCCGCGGCGTCCTTCATGCGTTCCGTTAGCATTGCCAAAAACTCGTCACGGTGCATCGCTTCGGCAAATGGTTCTGCAAGAGTACACGCCGCCAAAGCATCAGGCGATATGTCAGCACACTAACAGATCTCACCTCGTGAACAAAAGCACATCATTCCGTGCGTACCTGGCTTGAACGTCAGGCTGACTCGGTGGCCATCCACCAAATGGATATCCACACCCCGCACTGAGTCGTTCTTCGTATCGTGCACTGTAGTCGGCAGCACATCAACGACTCGTGTGGTAGACAGAAATAGCGCAACCGCCGACTTGTTCGTCATGTTCTGCTCCCCGTTCCTGCCCACCCCCAGTGCGTCCGAAGCCGACTGCAGCGTCTGCAACCACACAACGCCTCCCCCTTCTAGCTCTGTCACGCTCAGCTCTCCTGGACCCCCGTCGATGCGCACGCCATCGAATGTAACCGCCACGTGCTGGTACATGACGCAGCGACTGTTCTTTCTCTGCAGCTCTTGCTGGACACGCGATACCAATTCTTCAGACATGCGGTAGGCGTCGAGCACGTTCATGTCCATCCGCTCAGTGTGCTGTGATTTGTTCACACTCGACACGGTCGCGGAAGAGCCCGAGCCATAAGTGGCCTCGTCCTTCACAGTCATGTGGATAGCCAGAAGTCCGTTCGTAAATTGAGAGTCGCAATTGTGAGCGATAAAATGACCCATTTCACCGCACACAGCATGTCCTCTTTTTCCCATCTGCACGGCCAAACCCTTTTTTGTCTCATAACTCAACGACCTCAACGAACTTGACCTGCGAATGCAGTGGGGTAGATGGCGTTATGCCCTTCTGCTGCGACAAGGCATTTTGTTGGCGTTTGGGCATAGCTCGATCACATACTATAAACCGCTCGTGGTCCTCAGGCCACCGGCCATCACTTGTACTGGTTATGCAGTATGAGTAGAAAAGTGTACCCACTTTTCTTACTAGTCGGCTGCTACCAGTCGGATCGTCGTGGCCTGGAGTGCGAAGGCATAATCGATGTCAACTGGCTATGCTCGGTAAATGTGAGATCATTGTAATTGTGGGCTGACTTTGCTTCGTGTGAACCGCAGTAGAAGACAATCAGCACAATTTGAAACGACCACGCGCGACTAAACCCCTTGACATTCGTGCTTTGTCGACCCTCTAAGGATTCCAGAACGCATATACAGGCCATCTGGCTCTACGTGTTTTCCTTCATAATATTTAGTCGATCTGTGCCATGTCCTTGAGGTGTCGTTGCAAATAGTTCAGTCCATCGCGCAAGCGTTGCAACGAATATCACAAGTCATAGAAAACTATTCTACAGCTGCTGTGTCGCAGCTATACCAGCTCCTTGCCATATGATGTCTTTATTTCAAATAGCTTCTTACTTCTTAAACAAGAACGCAAATTATTTGGTATCTTCAAGTTGTCTTATAGATTATAGAATCATGACTCAAAGAGTCAACTAGCTCAGAGAACATCGACCCTTATTCGAGTCCACTAGCTCACACGCCCTCTTCTCTTGTTCAAGGGACTTACGATTCGTAGAACCGACAACACAAAGCGCTCAAGCGTATACGCTTAAAAGGGACTTTCTACCTCTTAACGACCTATAGTAGATCGTAAGAGGTAGAAAGTCCCTTTTGAGCGTAATCTTCGGCTTTAATAATGCGAAATGACGTTCATTTAATTAGTCACACGATGATAAAATCTGTCGACGTACTTGCATGAAAGGCTTACGCTCGTAGAGAGTAGTAAACTTGAAACGTACCTCTTAGTGGGATAAACGTCCCAGCCCCCTGCAAACGTACTTAGGTCTATACTGATTTGCGTATGCGTTACAACACCAGGTAAACGTATTCATACAATGGGGCCATTAGACTGTGTTACCTTTTCAGGTGCCGTTTCCTTTTAACCACGCGAGTCTGATGCTATCCTACCATACAGGCCTCGTAAATTTTGGCCTGATTCCGATTTGCATGTACAACTAAGGACCACAAGTCTACCCGACGATACTCCATGCATTGTCGGCTGTATATGGAATGTCCGCTTATGAGGGAGGCTTACTGTCATCAACATAAACCGACTGCTGCACTTCCGATGCCCAACATCAGACATGAAAGTTAAGCGGTGATCAGTTCCGATGCCACTACAGCAAGAGTCATGTCATTTGCGCCACAACGGATTACAATCATTTCAATTAAGATTCAGTTTTTGTGTCACATCAAGCTATGAAAAGCTATATTATCGCTTGGACTCCTTTTATCATGTACTATGCCAGGATGAGGGCCCTCCTTATTGACACCAAAAACCAAAAGGTGTCAATGTAAGAACGTAATAAGTAATGTTCGTCATTGATTATCCATAACGCGCAAACATCCGACAAACTACCTTCGAAGGTAGTGTTCATCACCGATCCGCTTACCGGTTGATACAGGCCAATATATCGACCAACTAAACCGCAGATTGCTGCTAGACGCGCGCAATGGGTGGTGAGCGAGTAGCTCACCACAAACACAACAAATTCGGATATAGTAGGTCAATAAAACCAATATAGGTTATATGGTTTATTATTATGAACCTTTGTGATATTGAGTAAAATTTTACTTCTCCTTCTTTGCACGTACAGGTTACGTGAGGATTTGAGGTATCCACTTGCAATGTGATTAAAATTGTATCTTATACTGTGTGAAAACATGCGTCCGATGCACCATTTCAAATTTCGGTAGTCAAACGAGTAGTAATTCGATCCAAGTCCGCAATGGTGCATCTCATCGTAAAAGTCAAACCATGAACTTCTTCAGCTCGGGTGCAGCAAATGAACTGTACACTTCGGAAGATATCGCTGGAGGGGTGGTGTGCATCGTAATACTACGGTCTATTTGCCGAGAAAAACGAGCTCGATATATATGATCACGAGCTTCCTGTTGCAAAGCTGCAATGCGCGGCATCACATCCACCTGTGGGTATAGTAGTTTCGGTGTCGAAGTGTCTAATGTCAACAGATGAGCTGGGTTGGGGGTACGACAGACTGTTGTGGAGTCTGAAATGGCTTGGTGCCTAGCTTTATCAAGTTGTGATGGCACTGCTGGTAATAAATCATTGTCGACTCACGATCGCCACATAGGGTGCATTACCTTTATCGTGCGACTGGTGTCAAAGAAGCGTCTCGGTCAGCATGCAATCATCGGCAAGGTCACTAATGTGCGATGTGATGATTATTAATAGGCGAGGTAGCAATGTGTGATATGCGAGGTGTGATAGGTTGTCAACCGGAAGATTCCAGTAGAATTGCAGGTGGCAGAAAAGATTGCGGACTCATGGCCTGCTATCATCAACACTTTGCACTTTACAACCATGTGCCCAGCTGCCTATACTTTGTAAACGACGTGACAGCTCTCTAGATTTGTTCACGCTGGAGTTTTTCCTATCAATCAATCGGGTTTCCGCTATCGATCACAGTTAATGCCGACATTCCCAAATGACAGTTGCGAACTGAAAAACCGATGAATTGTGTAGCGACTATCACTGGCATACATGTGTTTACTCCATCTCTCGCTTCCTTCGCCAATGAACACTAACAGCACGAGAATTCCGCTTAAACAATTGATGTGGCTCCTATTACACCTTGTGTGTTCCTTAGCTCTTGTGCCGATTGTGACAGCAACGGTCATTCGGCAACAGTCACCATCCGAGTATCCGAATCTTGTCTTGCTGACAAGCCAACGTTCCTCGGAAGGGAACTATGTTGTTCAACTTTCTTGTTTTTTTTGGAATTATTACGATAATGCATACAATGTTTATGACATCCTATCCATAAGCAAACGATAATTACAATAAAACGTTATTATATTCTCGTTTTCAAATATATGTAACTTAGTCCATTTAGTTTGTCGATGTCCTATCCGTTTGCAAACGATAGTTACAGCGAAACGTTATGATTTAGTCACTTATTTCACAATGTATAATCTATGACGCTAAACGATGACCCATCCAATAACGATAGTTTCCTGATCACAGGACTTGAAGTTGGCATCCGTAGTCAAACTGTACTACTTCGTTTTGCTGCGTGAGGAACGCGCAGAATGCGGTAACGAGGTTATGCTCTTATTTTGAAGATGCTCGCTCTTAGTTTACCCTGTATATTCTTCGGTCTGCGCCTATAGAAAGGGCTTACAAAGAATACACATCGTGTCCAAGCGATGTTGTGAGCTCTTCACTTTCTCAGACTATTGTAAATTTCCTGATACGTGGATGCGTCAGTTTTTGATTACGATGTGCGTAACATGTACAATGGTGAGAAATTGCGCTACATCAAGTAGCACAGCTTCAACGTCCTCGCTTGCTGCATGGCAAACGTGCGTGTAGGTTGCGATCCACGCGGCTCGTGAGAACTCGGAGATAGCTCTCAGGCCTAAAGTAGTGGAATGTACCGAAAGGTCACTCCGAAAGGTCAATGCTAATGAAACGTCACGGTTGCTCGACACAAACTCGTGAAGGGCATTATCCTCTCGGCTGTCAATCTTGTGCCATCACGGTAGCGTACGTCAAGGGATGGAATGCAAAAACTGGATCGGATTACTAAAGATAGAATGGGTATCATATGCCATGCAAGGGCAGCACGAGAGCCAGCGAGTCCGAGCAGGGCAATGGTGTGCTACTACGAAGTGACGCGGGACAAGAAGCTGTGCAAGACGTGGGAAGTTTGACACAAATGAATACATGCAGCAAAACAGCGAGGTCAGTTCTCTGTCGAACTGACCCTCTCGATGCTCGTTCAAGTCCATAGGATAGAGACTACAAAGACCGAGAGGCTGCTATCTGTCCGGACCACCCTTTGTGCGCAAAGACCGATTCTCCGTCTCCGCCACTCTGCGAGGTCCCCCTCTTTCACCGAACAGCAGCACGTAGCAGTCAAAAGACCCACTGAACGCGCCAGCATTCGGCAAAAAGCGAGGTTTCCTATGTCCGTCCCCCCTTACAATGAGAAGGTAGTGCCTTGAATCTCCCCATCAAGATTCTGAGGGACGATAGATAGCGTCAAACTTCCACACAGTTGGCTCGCCAAAACCAACCGACATCAAACCACGCTATCCCTACCACTGTCAACGCCGCAGGACACGCCCTGTATCCTCCTTATCCACGGCTCTATGAGCCGCGATACTGAGAACCTCGTGCTGACCCGTACGTTGGATGCTCGACCTCGTATGAATGTACTCGTCACTTCCAGTTTTGTGTGTCTGCTTTTGCGCTTGTTGAATAGCTTATCGCTGCCAGCCAATCGTTTTGATTTCCACAATAAAAAGTAAAATTTCTCGTTAAAAGAGGAATTTTTTTACCTCCTCGACGCCTGATGGATGAGTCGCGCGAAAGTTGCTGCAGTGTCGAACGAGCCACAGCAGTTTTTTCTAAGTGCCGAGTGTGCAAACTAAAGGCAACGTACCATCACTAGAAAAGGCAAAGGTGCATCGCTCATTGGTATTTGATACTAGTGCCAGTGCTGCAGTTGACTTTGTCTTTACTTCGATGTTTCTGTTCGGCGTATGATAACTAGTCGAGCAACCCGTGCCGCAGAGCACGCACGTTGTTCAATAAGTACGGTCCGCACGCTATCAGTCCAGGACCACACGTCATATCACAATGACAGCTTCGTCGTGTACTTTGCTGCACGTACTCGTTCTAGTTCTTGTTCATGCGGCATCACGGAAGCTAAACAAAGATATTGTGGTCAAGGTAATGATGGTTTTGTTTTGCTAAGCCACAATAGTTTGTACAGCTTATAAAGCGAGCAAACACCATGACCAGTCAACGTTCCTCCGTGTGCCTTTTGGTGCCTTCTTCTATGCTCTTCAGCACAGCGCAAGCCCAGACGAACACGAACGAGCGCAGCAAACGGCTCACTATCTGTACCTCATTGCTGATGACGACAGACTGCAGACTCGCTCTGACTTCTCTGCTACTTCAGCTCAACCAAGTCGCTTGTAGAATTGGCAAATACCAACGCCGGTAAGACTTGCCCATTCTCAGAGCATGCGGGCGGTCCAAAGCCTGATCACTTCGGCCCGGGAGTACCACATGTGCTGCATATCCCTACCGATTCTCATCATGTGGAGCAACACGGGTCGATACTGCCGCCAAGCTTGTCAGCGTCCGTGTCCTTGAAAATGACGAAGCCCAGACCGACGCCAAGAATCACTGCCACAAACATGAGCGTCTCGAACGTCATGATGACCAGCATGACCAAGTAGCCCAAACTCAGATGTACCATGTACATGACTGCTAGCACCAGTTTGCACCAGAACGGCAGGCGGCAAACAAGGCTGATCTCCAGAGCAGCGGGCACGCTGCCCACCTTTTGTACGACTGACCCGTAGCTCGCAGTGTGACCATCCTCGGTGCTGCAGACTCGCGGCGTGCACAACGACGTGTAGTCTGACTGGCTAGACACGACACCGTGGAGCCGAGAGAACCGCTTTTCCACAAACTCGCGCAGCTCGCCAAAGCCTTCGAGCAAGACGGCGAGCAAGACGACACCGAGGAAGGCAAACACGTACTTGATCTCCGTCGAGATCACCCACGGCTGAAAGAGCAGCAACAGGCACGCGGTATTGCCGCCAATAGCGGTCTGGAAACCATTGTACATGGCGGACCCCGTGGGGTCGGCCGCTGCGCCGGTGTAGCAAAAGTCGTCGGAAGACGCTTGGGCTGCCACGTACTTGGTCGGGTTGTCAAACACGAGTTGTGCGTGCGCCTTCGAGCACGTGTAGATCTTCTGTCCGCCCTTGGAGATCCACGGCACAGCGTGCGTGAGGTGGTCAAAGCTCTTGCTACAGACGGGACACCTGATCGACTTTGCGTCCTTGTAGATCTCGTCGGTCGAGATATCGGCCTCTACTGGACGGCCAAGGTTAGCACCCTGCATCAAGAAAGGGAGCGATGGATCGATAGAGAGAGTTCAATACAGAGACAGATAGAGAGAGCAGTTAGTCGACGCGCGGTCTCCTGTCGATAAGTGGTCTGACAGGTCACAACAGATTGCCGCACCGGTTTGTGCTGCAGGGACTCAATGTGGCCAGCCATCTCACACGCGTAGACGTACTGGTTGCCCCGCACAGTGGCGTTGATGTTGGGCTTGACGTCCATGTTGCACAACGGGCACGTGGTCTTCTGCAGGTTCTGACCAGCGTCAGTGGGCGGCAGTAGCAGCAGCGACAGCAATGGCAGCAAAAGCAGCAGCAGCGACACCGACAGGGCTTTGGCCATTTTGAGCTCAAAAGTCGACTGAGCTCTTGACGGACCGAAAGGCCGAGTTGCGGGACGGCGGCAAGCGGTCACGTAGAAAGGGAATGTAACAGCGAAAGGGAACGGACGGGCGCGACCGAAAGGCGCTCTGCGAGTCGACAACGAGACGGAGTGGCGCCAGTCTCGATCTACAGTAGGGGAAGAGAGTGTGTGGGCAATTATTGACTGGGGCGCTATCGCTGACTTGCTCGAAATAGACTCGTGCTAAGAGCGTGTCGATCGACGATCGCTTCTATTTTGAGACACTGGCGCAAATGAGCGACTTTTACACCCCCTGCCGATCGTTTTCAGTCTGATAGTCTCTCTTCTCAGACAGAAACAAACAAAAGGCCCCGTTCGGTTCTCTTGCGCCTGGCACGTCATCTGACACAAAAGGACCGCTGATGCGGTCATTGCAGCCACAAAGTTGCGACTGCGCGCGTTCTCTGCCGCCGGCGCGACGATTAGCGCTCTCGCAGCATCACACGCCGTCTATCGATTTGCATAGAAATCCATATCCCCACTCACGCCCTTCAAACAAACGTACACTGACATTGTGCCCAAAATGCCTCAGGGCCTTTGACGATCCGCTGCACAATTGCCATTTGGGCTTTCGCGTCGTCCCCCCCACGCGATGCGCCTCCGCTCTCTGCGGCACTGCGCCACCGCAGCCGCTCTCCTGCTGCCCCCCGCACCACTCGCTGCGGCAGCTCACGTCCCGTCCGCTCCCCACCGTCTCCACGTACACGACACGCACGCGACGCCGCAGCTGCACCGCAAACTGACCGCTACGGCCGCTGTGAGCTCCACGGACCACACGTGCCCCGTGTGCGGCATGTCGACGCTCGACAGCGGCTACGCCAATGCCAACTACGTGACGCTCACGCACGGGCAGAAGATCTACTCGTGTGGAATGGCCGCGCGCCCGTTCCCCAGCTACGGCTCCAAGTTGACCGACACGGCCTATTTGGCCGCCAACATGGCCGAGTTCATTGTCAATCCGACGGACAGGAGCGCCTACGCCAAGTGCAGTAGCACCTGCGACGAGTGCGCAGACGGCGTCAACGACCCCATGTCGGGCGCTGCTGTCAAGACGGACACGTACGTCTACGTGTGCCTGAAGAACGGGCAGAAGATCTATTTTGCGTCGCAAGCCAACAAGAACGCGTACCTTACCAGCGTCAAGACAGGGCCCCGCTATCGAGTCGATACGGTCATTTGCGAGGGAGCGCCGTGCTCGGACGCGGCCGCAGTCACGACGCTGAGTCCAGCAGCGCAGAGGTTCGTGCCGGACTTGTCGTCGTCGAGTGCACGCGGTACGGCTGCGGCCCCGTCGACGTCGCCGTCCCGTAGCACCGCTACCACTGAAACGGACGAGTCGTCGACTGGTTCGGACTTTTGCTCGGGCCAGGGGTCGGTCATGTTCAACGGCTTCCAGCTGTCTATGAACGGGTCGTGCGTGATGCTGCTCTTCCAGCCGTGGGTGCTCAACAGCGGCGGGAAGTACGCGATCGGCTTCATCGCCTGCTTTCTGATTGCACTGCTCAACGAGACGCTGGTGAAGGGACGGGAGATGGTGCGGCAACGGCTGCTCGCGGCACGGAAGCTCCGTCCTAGTGACAAGCTCCACAAGATGCAGTGCAAGCTCCTTCTCGCGGTGTTGTACATGATTCAGATGACGGTCGCGTACTTTGCGATGCTCGTGGTCATGACGTACGAGACGGGTCTGTTCCTCGCCCTGATCGCCGGCTTTGGCACCGGTTTTGTGCTCTACAAGAATCTGGACCAGGACGTCACGGAAGAACGTGGTGCATGGCGGTTCACGGACCCTTCGACGGTGCGGATCCAAGTGGGCGGCATGTCGTGCATGAAGAACTGCGGCACAACGGTAGAGACTGCACTGAAGAACACGCCCGGTGTGACGAATGCAGTGGTGGTGTTTGTCGAGCGCGCGGCTTATGTCTCTGGATCGGCGCAAGTGAGCGACCTGATGGAGGCCGTCGAGGCCGTCGGGTTTACTGCTGAGATGAGCAGTGTCCAGTATGCACATCGAAGCAGCGATCCTCATCACGCGTAAGAGTGTGCGTGTATTGTGCACACTGCTTGTAAGAAACCGACGCCTTGCTCACTCGTCTGGTTGCACTGTTGTTTTGTTGCTGCTTGGTTGTGTATGTAGTGAATGCCGCAAGGACGTGTGAGTGTCATGTGTGAGACTCTATGCGCTCAGCGTTGGACGGGAGCAGAGAGACACACAGCTTATGGCAAGTGAAGCTTTGATCGTGCTACGGTCGGCACCAGAAGCCAAGCGAGACTGTGGTGGGTTTGCTGAGACAGCGATCACTTCGACGCTACCCGATATGTGGCCTGCGTATCATCTACAAGTCGCAGTCTGCAACCAGACGCTTCGGCGACATGGCCAAACAACGATCGAATGAAGGAGGCTCACATGGCCTTTGTCACGGAACGCGCCGTCGGCTTGTGCCGCCCTCAGACATTCACTGGGTCCACACAGATACGTGCGTCGCCTTCATCACGACAACAGCAGGATATCCATCCAGCAACGCATTCCATGAGACTATAAACTCGACTAAAAGTGTCTAGCAATGCCACTTCATTTGTCGTGTCGTGGACCGAGTGAGCAGAAGAGGTTGTCGTTGGCTGAGTCTACGACATCCACTTCTCATTGCGTTTCTTCTGGTCGCCGAGTAGCTGTCGCAGCGGAAGAACTAAACTCGCCCATCACGTCGTCCGGGACCACTCCGTCTCGGGTCTCGATCTTGACACCGCGTGCGAGCGACACTTTCCTGGCGTCAAATTGTAAGTTCGGTACGGCAATCAGCGCAATGGGGCAGAAGTGAGCGCACGAAAGCGTGGACCGGACCTTCTTCGTCGTCTCAGTGCACCGGTCACGCGACCGGCTGACCGCATCTGTAGATGTCGAAACAAGTGACGTTCCTCGAAATTGTACAACATCGAAAGGAAGCGATCGATGAGGAAGCAAATGGGACGACATTAACCTCTGCACTGAAGGAAAATGTGGCTGCAAAGAGGCAATGCCAACCACATGGATCGTTTCGGACAGGTCCTACTGCAACTCTGGAAGATAAGCACCTCTAGTAGATCGATGCCATGCCTTGTCCGCAGTACCAGCGCTTGTGGCGAAGAAAGCGGCGAGCGATTTCAAGCTTCACGACACGATTCTCGCACTCTGCTCGTACGGAAGATCGTCACGCAATGACCGAGCAAGATCATGGCGATCGTTGACGTCGTTGGTCAATCCGTCACGTCTCTTTGCCGGGTCAGAGAAGTGCTTCAGACGATGCACAAAGGTCTGCGTGCCAAAAGGTGGGCGGATGACAGCGCAAGCAAGTGAGCGAGCGACCACGACCGTGAAGAAGGGGCCGCAATCGACACCGCCAACTGGTGGCCGGTCTTTGATGAGCAATGCACCATTGGCGGCGTCTGTACGACCATCGACCAAGTGAAGAAAGTCGGAGCGGGACAAACATCGTCGTGGCTACGGACGGTTGACTGCTTTGACGCAAATTACTAGACCATCTCACCTACCGACGACAATGCACTTGACACTCCCTCGGACATGCAGAACGTCTTTGTAGCTCGAGAATAACACGTTTGTCGCGCGGATACTTGCCATTTGCTGGTGCAGTCGTCGTCACAACGCTACTGTATCTGTAGCGCGAAGTGGCCACTTTACGGAGTCGCACGCCTACGACCTTCCAGCTGAAGCCGCATCAGCATCGGCACTAGGCGAATCGACGTGGCCATGATACAGGGAATGCATAGGAACTGATGTGCCAACGCGAAATGACGCTGAGCGTGCCTTCCAAATCGGTGTAGCAGACCAATGCGTATCATCGCATCTGTGGCACCACCAAAGCACTTCCCAATTGAGGTCACGTAACTTCATCCATTGAATATGGCGATCTGTACCCGACTCGTGCATGAGCATAGAATAGCTCTATTCTATCGACATGTTGTACGTACCGAGAGAGATCTCTACAGCAGCGCTTCCACATGCAAAAGGTTTGGCCGTGCGACTGGAAGCACGAGAGGATTGATGCGGTGCCAATCGAGCGGTCTCTGCACGCACCGGCTGGTAGTTGTGTCCCGCCCACATTTCCTCTACGGCTAACGTTCGTCTACAGGCGATGTGTCAATAATGCCCATCTCGTAGATTACGGTATGCAAAAGATATACTGAAAACACTTACGTTCCTGCAAAAAACGACGTGCTTGACACTCACAGTATCACCTCATAATGGGTCACTCGACGACCATGTGCCTCTCTTACACTCACAGCGTATCTCTCCACTGAATGGTACCAGCTGCAACTTGTTCTAGAAAAGCGCTCCATCACACCAACTGACTGTGCAAAAACAACGGTCCGCATCGACCAAAAGTACAAAGCGAAAGAGCAGCAGCAAGAGGGGACGCGCTGAGCTCGCCATCTTATTGGTCCATCCCCTCGCGCCGCCACTCCAGCTATCGTTACTTCACACGGGCCTCCAGGATCCTTCCTCACTCGAAAAGCTCTTGACGAACAAACCCCCACGTCCGTCCGCCCGCGCTCCTCCTCCGCCTCCTCCACCTCCCTCTCCTTCTTGCCCGTGCGCCCCCGCCCTACCCCCACCACATCCACGAGGATCGCCGCCAGCGATGAAGACCGAAGACGCCGCTGCGCTCCACGTGACGACCGCGTCGCTGCCGCCGCCGTCGAGCGGCGTCATGTCGCCCCGCAACGAGTTCTTTGTGTCGCAGCGCGCCGCGACGGACCTCGAGCTCAGCCGCTTGGACTCGTCGCTGTCGCTGGAGGAGCAGGAGATTTTGGCCACGATCCAGGAGCTCCAGCTGCAGCTCACGCACCTGCGCGCAGCAGAAGAGCAGGAGAAGTGCGCCCCGCCCGACGCAGCGGACGCAGCAGTCGGTCGCCACCAGCTCATTGTCGTGTCCAACAACCTGCCGGTGCTGTTGGAGCGCCACCCGCAGACGGGACGCTGGAAAGCCACGAAGACCACAGGTGGACTGGACAAACTCATGTGTTTGACTGGCGTGCGCGCCGAGATGGACTTTCTGTGGGTCGGCGGCGTCGGGCAGCCGATCCCCAAGAGCGAGCACGAAGCAGTGCGCAGTCTGCTGCTGCAGCACAAGTGTCTGCCTGTGTTTCTGTCGTCGGACGTGGCGTCGCGACACGCGAGTTTCTCGTCCGAAGTGCTCTGGTCCCTGTTCCACTACGTGTCGGAGCCCGTACCGCTCTTGAACACGGGCGGCAACTCGAGCTTCTACTCGACGAAGCGGTTCAACAAACAGGACTGGCGCGCCTACGAGTCGGCCAACGAGAGCTTTGCCGACGCAATTGCTGAAGTGTACAATGAAGGCGACTCGGTGTGGGTGCACGACTATCACCTCATGTTGCTCCCGTCGCTGTTGCGCCAGCGCATTCCGCTGTGTCGCATCGGCTGGTTTCTGCACACGCCGTTCCCGTCGTCAGAAGTGTACTGCCGTCTTCCAGTGCGGTCGCAGCTGCTCACGGGCGTCTTGCAAGCCGATCTGCTGGGATTCCAGACGTTTGACTACGAACGACACTTTCTTTCCACCTGCCATCGACTTTTGGGCGTCGAGTGCACGCACAAGGGCGTCCGCAGCGCGCTCGCAAACCGTGATCATTTTGCTTCGATTGGTGTCTTTCCGATTGGCATTAGTTTGGAACCGTTTGCGCATGTCGCGTCGAGTCGACCAACGCTTGACCGAGTGAATGAGCTGCATGAAAAATTCGGCGGGAAGCGTATTATTCTAGGCATCGACCGACTGGATAACATCAAAGGCATCCCTCACAAAATGTTGGCGATGGAAATGCTTTTGGATCGCTTTCCAGAGTGGCAGCATAATGTCGTGCTGGTGCAGATTGGCATCTCGTCCCGTTCTGGCGTCGTCGACAGCGGAACGATTCATGCGAGCGGTAAAAATGACCGTCTGTCCAGTGTGAACAAAGCCAGCGGAGAGAAGAGCAACGTGCTTCCTCGGTCTTCTTCGTATTCAGTAATGGGACCAGGGGGCTCCGTCGGCAGTGACAGCCCAATCAAAGGTGTGCCAGAGTCTCCTCCAACGGCTGCAAGTCCAATTGCAGCTGGCAAGGGGAAGAGTAGTGGATATGACGCCTGCTACCAGCTTGAGATGAGCTCTCATAGCTACCACAACATTTCGACCCAAGTAAACCAGATCGTCGGGCGTATCAACGGCATTTTTGGAACTCTCGACTACGCACCCATACACTTTATCCAGCAGCAAGCCACTCCGCATGATGAGTTGTGCGCGCTCTATGATCTGGCTGATGTTTGCTTGGTGACGTCTACGCGCGATGGAATGAATTTGGTGTCTCATGAATTTGTCGTGTGCCAGCAGCACTTTATGCGAAACAAGGATGAACGGACCAAAGCTGCTCGTATGGCCACTAGAGAGTCTTCTGGTCCTGGCGGCAAGAGTAACGGCGGATTGGCAAGTACCAGCACTTCGAAAGCTCTCAGAGATGATGATGCGGGGAAAAGTGGAGGGCTCTCTCCGATTCCATCGTCACAAGAGTCCTCAGCGTCGGTTCTGACGGATTGGGAAGGTGAAGATGGTGGACCAGGTGTGCTGGTGGTGAGTGAATTTGCAGGCTGCTCGCAGTCGCTGAGTGGCGCTATCGTCATAAACCCGTGGAATACCGAAGACCTGGCTCGGAGCATGCACCAAGCCTTGAGTATGTGCCGCACGGAGCGTGAGATCCGTCAGCAGAAACTGTATCGCTATGTTTCGTCAAACACTGCTTCGGTTTGGGGACGACAGTTTCTGGAAGAGCTCGGTGTGGCGGTCGAGAAAAACCGCAAGTCATCCACCCAGCTACCCAAACTCGACAAGAAAGCTATCGTGCGAGCATATACTAGCGCGCAGAATCGTGTGATCATTCTGGACTATGATCGAACGCTGACGCCACAACACTCTCTTCTTCCGCTTGCTGCTGTCGGACCTAACTTCAAGTCGTTGCTTGATGCACTTACTGCTGATGAACGCAATACAGTGTTTATTGTCAGCGGCCGCGAGCGAAAGTTTCTGGAGACCTGGCTGAACGGTATGCGCGTCGGTGTTGCAGCAGAGGACGGATTCTTTTATCGTATGAACTTGAGCAACACACGTGAGCAGTGGAAAACGATGAGCAAGTTCCAGTACGACGTTGCAAGCGCTCGGTCAGGTGGAAGTACTACCGCAACGGTCGCTGGAATGGGTAGTGTGGGAAGTCTGGATACGTCTTACTCTAGCGAAGCTCATGGCATGATGCACATGAGCATGGGCAGTCTCCCGACGTATGCGCAGCATGTTCCTGCACCCAGATCAGCTGACACTGGGGATGGTACACCGTTTGCGACTGGAAGTGCTGCGACGGATGACTCGTTCGGTGGAGATGACATGTCCTGGAAGGACTTGGTGCTGCCAACCATGCTGACGTTCACTGACCGAACGCCGGGCAGTTATATCGAAGACAAGGAGAGTTCATTGACGTGGCACTATGGCGACGCCGACCCTCATTTTGGCAGTTGGCAGGCAAAGGACTTGCAGATCATTCTGGAGCGGCAGCTCATCGGTACCGCGCTGGAAGTCTACCAAGGGCGTATGGCAGTCAGTGTCGAGCATGAAGGGTGCACGAAAACCCGTGTCCTGGAAGGCATTCTCAAGCATTTGTCGCTTCCTGAGCAGATCGTCAAGAAGAACGGCCAGGAGGTCGATTTCGTCTTGTGTGTGTGCGACGACGTGACCGACGATCAGATGTTCCAAACGCTGAACGCCTTGGTGACCGAGTCGAATGAACGCCACGAAGAAAGGAAGCGAAGGGAGGAGCACGCAGCGAGTGAGCGGATTCGCCGCAACTCCATCGCTATGGGCAACCCGGCTCCGGTCCAGTTACATGCACGACCCGTGCCGTCTGCTGCTCATGTGTCGAAGGCAAAGCCCCGCATGCCGAAACTCAGAGTCAAGAGCGACACCACGGACCAAGTGGAGCCGGCTATCAAGCCAAAAGGCGGCACGAAAAAGCGCAATCAGAACGTTGGCGCTGCAGCTGCTGCCGTGCGAGGGAACGAAGACGACTCGACCGATGACGAGGACGAGTTGGATGCAGGTGAAAACATGGACGACGACAATAAGGTGGCCTTCAGCCGCTTGCAAAAGGTGCCGGTGCAACTTGCAGAAAACGTGGCAATATTCGCTGTCGTTGTTGGCCCAGATGTGCAGCACAGTGGAGGTCGCCACGGGTCGTCGTTCGCGGTGGACTCGTTGGCAGACGTGCGAACGGTGCTCAAGGACTTTGTGGACGAAAGTCGCAAAGGGTCCGACCGGGCCACTCTTGCGCCCGTGACACCTGGATCGTAAACCAGTAACTGCATGTTTAACGCTCGTGTTTGCTCTGCATGACGCGGCCTTTGCTGCTGCCATTCGTTCTTACAGGAGGTCGTAAAAGAAATCGAGCCCTGCACAGTGATAAGCGACGACGCATCAGTTTAATGTATCCCCTGACACCGAGCAACCAGTAAAGCATTGACTGACCTTGTCCGAGCTCCCAAATGGCTACCCCGACGCCGTCGGCCTTGTACAGGCTCAAGCGATCGTGCAGGAACTGCAGACACGGATAGAACATCACGTGTTGACGATTCGTTTCCGCAGTCGTGTACACGTGCTGACACTCCTGATGTCGGCATATGCAAATCATACACATGAGATGACGTTGTCGAACGTCAGACGAAAAACACACGCGTAGCTTTGCTCGAGTCGTACCTGAGATGTGAGGTCCCATCGAATGGCAACGTCGTTGTCGGTCAACGATTGAATGTACGTCCGCCCCGTAATTGCATCTACATGAGCAGGTCCAGCAAAAGAACGACCAGTCAGTGCGACACAGACAACAACACTCCCACTGTTTCGTGTCACCACCTGCGTTATCGTAGCCGTAAAACGGTAGTCCCATTAGGATCTTTTGCCGCTCCATGGGTGACATCTTTTCGAGCGTCTTTACGAGCCACGGATACGGCGCATTCGGCCCTGGTGTGCGATAGTCGTACGCGTTCATCGAGAAGCGATGGACTAGCGGTGCCAACTCGGCGAAAAGCTCGTGCGTCACAGGCATCTCACCCTGTAAAACAGCACATGCACAACCAGCATTCAGCTACCGACCGATCCCGACAGCTGCAAGCAAGTGCATGGCAACCGCCTCATCCATGACTTACGTCATCGGAGCTCCGAGGCAGCACGAGAATGAGCAACTTGTCTGCTGCTCGAAAAGCGCGGGCCAGTTGCTGCAGTATGTCCAACGTCCCTTGCGTGACGGGGATCTCGAACACCAATCCATCAAACTCGTGCTCGTTCGTCAGCTCCAGCAGCTGCGCCAGCGATCAGCGGCACGTCGTCGGAGCTCAGCTGGTTACGCTCGTAGACGACACGGGGTACCACAGCAGGCTCCATGGCTAACTTCGGGTCCCCGGGCACGCCATGCTTGATCTCCTGAACCCACTGCCGGTCGATCTCGTGAGTGCCCGTGATGATCGGCGCGTGGTCCCGGTCTTCCCGCACTTGCAGCCACACGGGCGAGACGTACGTGAACTTGTGGCGGAACCGCTTGGCGAGCTCGTAGCCCCCGCTGTTCCACGGCGTGACGTACCCCAACGTCTCACCCCGAAAGTGCTTCTCGTTGCTCTTCTGCACTCGCGCGTGTTCTTTCAGGATCGTCGCTGGCTTAAGCTTGTGCGTCACGAGCTGCCGAGTCCAGACAGACGGGACGTCGCCGTCGTCGTTCGTGCCCGCGTCCCCCGTGGCGACTGGACATTGGAGCCCGTCGCACTGAACTTCAATGAGGTCGTGGCCACTCTTGACACGGTCGAGCTGCAATGATGGGATCAAGTATGAGAGGTAAACACGATAGAGAGGGAAAAACAGGGGGACACAAAGAGGAAGTGAGGGTACATATGGAAACAGAAAGGGTACATGTAGCGAGAGCGAGGGTACGTATGGAGACAGGAAGGGTACATATGGAGACAGAGAGGGTACGTATGGAGAGACACTAGAAGCTCTGGTGCACGCACATTGCTCGAGACAAAGTCAAAGTCAAAGTCGTCGTCGTCGTCTCCCACTTCGACTTCGTCCGCAGCGTCGTCGTCGATCGAGTCGTAGGCGCAGACGCGACGGTCGAACGTGCCTGCAAAGAGAGTGACCACACACGCCACGACGACCAGAGCTGCTGCCTTCATCGTGTTGCGACCTGCTTCGTGGCGGAGACGCACGCGTTGATTGGCTACATTTGCTGGCGACGGGGTACAACGTAGCCCCAGACATGTCAAAATGGACGTCGGCGCTGGTACGACGAAGAGGTACGATCCGGTGGTCGTACGTACATGTACGACCAGCTGTAGGCGTAGCCTGTCCACGGTCCCAACGCTCACGGTCGTCCAAAACATTGGAATAACACAACAGTTGCGGTCTCTGTATCGCACACCAATGACCTCCTTCGTCGACGATCGCTGTACCGTCTGCAAACAACTCGACACTCCTCGCGACACAAAAACATGAGCGCTTCCTTTCCATTTGGCGCTCCCGATCGTGAGGTCGAGAGGGGGCATACAAACTTCAAATCGGAATTGGCCTTGCTTCGATTGCTTGAACCAGTCGATTATGTTGCGTGCGATAGACAATGGCGCAACCGGTTTGAATCTGCTTCAACGAGCTGTTGCTCATTGCAATGGATCAGCGTACCGCAGGAAACGCGAGTGCGTGTGGGTGATTTGGATGTGGCAAAGTCAAGTCTGTTTCTTCGGCAGTGACGACTTGTGCAAAGAGAGGCACCAAATGATGCGCTAGAGGAGACGCAACCAGAGAGGAAACGTGGCGGGGAACGCCTCACGAGCACTTTGTAGTAGAGATGTCGCTATGCTGCACGGCTTTTCCCGCGGTCGGACCAATGGCGGGGCCATCCACGAGCCAATTGACGCCGTTATCGATCTCGCCGCAACCAGTGGGGAGTTCTTGACAGAAACGTCGTCAGCGCCGGAGCTAAAGAACGTACCGCTCGCGTCAAATGTGTCTGTTTTTTTCTCGTGAGGTCAGAGAGTACGCCCGACCGCGTCGGGCAACGCCTCAACGTTAACGGAGCCCGACGAATTCGCTAGTGAGATCAGACAGTTGGCACCAAGTAGGACGGCCTCATGTGTGTGTGTGTGCAGAAGACCCCGTCCGACACGAGTGGGAGATCAGTTACAGTCGCACCGCACAGCGCCCATCGACCAATGACTCTGTCATGTTCGTAGCTTACCACTTCGATCCAGATGCTACCACGGGAACGGACCGTGCCAGATGTCGGGCGGTAAAGTGTCCAGATACAACCGAACTGTGGCAACCATATTGTCAGCAAAGATGGCCAAACGCGGTCTGCTGTCCACTCTTTTGTCGACGTTGCCGGTCGGCGGCACTCACGACTCTCGGTGTACATGGTCGCTTTCGGGACACCTGAAACACCACCGACTTTACAGTCGTCGACCGTCGAGGAACTTCCATGTAGCACGTCAAACGAACACGATCGCGTTCCACACCGTCAACGTCGATCGCTTGGGAAAGCACGCGATCGACTCTCGGCAGTAATGCAGCCGCGAAACGCTGCACCGTCTGTAGTGGCTGACCCATGAGCAGCAGCAGCAGCAGCAGCAGCAGCTGTCGATTGTTTGCCTACCAACCGCACCATCGAAGCGTTTACGCTGCCAGCAGCTTGTTTTGCTCGCGCGAATCAACGCGTTACTAAAGCGAGTGACCAGCTTCGTCCAGCAGGACGCAAAGGATCGAGGAGTCAGGTTAGGTCGTTTGTACTTGTTACTTATCAGCTACGCCGTCCATTCGTCCATCCGTCGCCCGTCGTCTGTCAATCTGTCCGGTCAACGGCCACGCCGATTGGAGCAGCTCGAGTCTTCTTTGCCGTCGCTTAGCGTCCTCTAATCGCATCTCGTCGTACCGTATCCCGTCGACCCTCATGTCTGAACTCTCTCCAAATCCCCTCTCTCTCTCTCTCCCCTCTCTCTCTCCTCTCTCTCTCTCTCTCTCTCTCTCTCTCTAATCGCGTAAAGGCACTGCTGCGTCCTCCTCTCACGACTTCTATTCGTCGGGCTCACGAACGAACTCCTCTGACTCACGCGCTCCCCTTATCCATCAACCACTCCATCAACTAATCAACTGACCAACTGACTTGTCGCACCGCAGCGTCTCCACCTCCGCCTGCCTCACTTTCCTTTTCGCCCGCTCCACCGCACGCGCCACCGCACCCGACCGACAAATGGCGTCGCGCCCCCGCCGCGAGTTCCTCTGCTCGGACCCCCCGCCGCCCCGCGGCCTCTTCGCCCACAGCCACAGCCACCACAGCCTCAGCAGCAGCTACAGCAGCCACAGCACCGCGTCCCTCTCGAGCAGCAGCTCCTCGAGCCGCACGCCCCACGCGCGCTCGTACTTCAGCTCGAGCGGCGGCCCGCACCGCTCGCCGCTCGAGTCGTCGGCCGCGAGCTCGTCGTCGACGGCCGACGGGCGCCAGGAAGACGACCACGCGCTCGTGGCGCTCGCCACGGCCGCCTGCGCGCGCGTCGAACACGCGCGCGCGACGTTCGCCAGCAGCGCCGGCTGGAAAGCGCGCAGCGAGGGCGCCGGCGTGCGCGTGTTCGAGCGCCGGGGCGCGACGTTCGACGTGGCGGCGTCGACCGCTCTGCCCTGCAGCGCCACCGAAGTGCTCGAGCTGCTCTCGAGCCGCAACAGCGACGACTTTAACGCGTCGATGGTGGCGCTCGCGGGCGACGCGTTCGCGCACGCCGTGACGCTGCGCGAGGTGCCGACGCCGGCGTCGCCCGACGTGCACCTGTCGGTCAAGCGCGTGACGTTCGCGGGCGCGCTGCCGCTCGTGTGCCGCGCCAAGACCGTCGAGCTGCTCGACTTTGTGCAGGTGGACCGCCGCGCGCGCACGGCGATCCGCACGTTCCACACGCTGGCGCGGGACGCCGACGGCCGCCGCGGGCGCGCGGGCGACGTGCTCGCGGGCTACGTGCTTACGGAGCAGACGGCGCTGCACCAGACGGCGGTGTTTTACTACGGCTCGTGCGCGCTGGCGGCGACGACGCCCGGCAAGGGCCTGCGGAAAGCTGCGACGGCGCAGGCGCTGCTGAAGCTCGCGCGGGCCATTCCGAAGATGGGCGAGATCAGCGTCCGCCGACGCCTCGGGGCGGCCGACACGGCGGACGCGGCCGACGACGTCGCCGACGGCAGCTGTGCGGGCTGCGGACAGCTCGTGAAGGGGTCGCTGCTGCGCAAGAAGAAGCACGTGTGCTACATCTGCAGCCACCACGTGTGCGGCTCGTGCGCCAAGGCGCAGGACGTCGAGACGCTGATTGGCGTCATTGAGCGCGCGCGCGTGTGCTGCATGTGCATTGCTGCGGCGCGGCACCGCGCGTTCGAGACGCTCGAGCAGCTACAGGACCGACCCGTGTACTTGCTGCGTCCGAGCGCGATGAGTGACTTGAGTGCGACGTCGACGGCAGTGGACTCGACGGCGTCATACGCGCGCGTGGCGGTAGCTGCCAGCGCACGCGGGTGAGCCGGTGACGCGGACGCGGACGGGCGAACTGTGGTCCATTTTTATTATCTAATATCTAATAGACAGCGTCACTTGTGTAGCAAAGCAGCACAAAGCTGAGTCGGGTGCGCTCGAGTCGAGCGTCTCTGCGGATCGGTACTGCAACAGACGGACAGTTTCCAAGCGCCTTTTGATCGCGACGAGCGCCTTTGATAGCGAGTCGCCGCCTACTGCGACAACACACTGCCCTTTTTGTGGAGGGCTTTGCAAGAAGGCGACCGCTCACTCAATCCGTCGACATGTCCACGTTTTGCCTGTGTTCGAGCACCTGCTGCTGCTGATGCTGCTACCCCAACGGAGTCAAGTGGGGGCACGTTTTGTCATGTCGTGTCGAGTAGAGGACCCTTTTTGACAGCACGAACGAAAGCGACAAACACGATTGACAAAAGCAGTAGCTCGGCCCTCCTGTAAACTATGCTAGTACTAAAATGCCTGGTACAAAGCGCTTCTTCTACCGCTCTCTCTCTCTCTCTCTGACTGGTTACTCCTCTGCAGTGGGCACTTCGACCCACACGAGCGCAATGGCTACGAGCGCATACGCCGTGAGCAGCATCGAGCCCTCGAGCCAATTGGACTTGCCATCGGCAATGATCGCGTAGACGATAATGATCGACATGAGGTAGATGAGGATCTCAAACTGAGGGAACGCCAGCGTCATGGCGCGGTCCATGAACCAGCCCGAGAGCACGACCACGGGCACGACAAAGAGCGACACCTGCGTCGCCGAGCCCACGGCCACGCCCATGGCGAGCTCCATCTTGTTGTTCAGCGCGACCTTGACCGCCGTCACGTGCTCGACAGCGTTGCCCACGACGGGCAGCAGGATAATGCCAATGAACGACTTGCTCAGGTGCATTTGCGCAGCAAAGCCGTCGATCGAGTCCACGAGGAACTCGGAGAACATCGACACTAGCAGCGTGGCAACGAGCAGCACGGTCGCGCTCGCTCGCTTCGACAGCGCCACGACTTCGTCCGCGTGGTCCTGTTCGTCTTCAAAGTAGTCGGCGTGCGTCTTGAGCTGGAAGAACAGCAGCTGCAGGTACATAAACAGCAGAAACGCTGCCGCAATGCGCGAGAGCGTGAGCGTATTCGCCACGCGAATCTCCTCCGAGTCGTGGTCGGAAAAGTAAAAGATGTAGCTCGGGAGCAACATGCCAAAGCTCGCGAGCATGAGCAGCGACGAGTTGGCGCTCGCGCCCACGGCGTTGAACGAGCTCTCCTTGTTGCGCACGCCGCCGGCAATGAACGCGCAGCCGAGCACGAGCAGCAGGTTCGACAGCACGGAGCCAATGAGCGAGCTCTGCACGACGCTGATCTCGCCCGCTTGGAGCGCAAAGAGCGCGACAATCACTTCCACCGCGTTGCCAAACGTGGCGTTCACGAGGCCGCCAATGGTTTCGCCCGTGTGGAACGCCAGCGACTCGGTGGCTTCGCCCAGCAAATTGGCCAGTGGGATCATCACGAGGAAGTTGGCGGCAAAGACCCAGAGGTCGCTCCAGCCGCCCAGCGACGCCCACAGGGCCACGGGCGCCGCCAGCAGCATGAGGTTCAGCGGCTGGTCCGCCAGCAGGCGGTAGATGGCGCGCGCGTCCTGCGCGAGCGTCAGCGGCGCGTCCGCCACGTCCGCTACCGAGTGGGGGCTGCAGCCGTGCGCGAGCGGGGGGTGGCTGCTGCTGCTGCCAGTGCTGCTGCCGTTGCTGTGACAGTGGCCGGTGGTGGGGAGCAGCGACGAGCGCTCGGTCGGGTGCTTGCGGACGCGCGACGCGCCGGTCTCGACGTCCTGAGTGCGGGCGCGCCGCAGCGACGCGAGCGCTTGGGCCGTGTGCATGGGTGGGAACGAGCGGCGGCGGGCAGCGCACGCAACGGGGTATGTAAGCGGTATCTGCGCGTCGGGCGGCGCCGAGACACCACAGGCGGTTTGTGTGTGCGCGAGACGCGACGCACGTCAGCGGCTCTTGGATCGGTCGGGTGGGGCGCCGACGTTGAAGACGCGCAAGTGGTCGAGTGCGGTTGTGTGTGTGTGTGTGTTTGTGTGTGTTTGTGTGTGTGTGTGTTTGTGTGTGTGGGCGTTTGTGTGTGGTGAAACTCCAGTTGGACGGCAGCTCAAACGACGCGGGCGGCAGGGGGTCGTGTGGTGTGCGCTGTGATTGGCTGAAACGCAGGAGCGCGAGAACGGAGTGGCAGAAAGCAGCGCCCGCTGCCGCCGGTCCGCGCGGCGTCGTCAGCTGGTGGTAAAATCCACGGAAATCAGGCGACGTTTGCCCGGCGGTTCGCTTACCGCTGGCGGAAACTACGCGCGGCCTTTGGGCCCACGGGCCGCTGCTGCTGTTTCTGCTCGTGGCGAAACCTCCAGAGGCGAATCAGACGGCTGGCTGCGTGCAGTGGCCACGCGCCGCCAGTTGCAACGGGGCCGAACAAGTGGCAACTTGACGGCCGCGTTGCTTCGTTGGACGGGCAGCTGGCACCAGACACGAGAACGTGCGACGCGTCTTTGCACGTGCCGACGTCACCGCAACGTGACGACGTCGATGGCGGCGATTTGCTGCACAGAGTGGGGGGCACCAGCGGTCGGAAAGGAAACGTGCTCGTTGTTCTGGTTGTCACGCGGCAGGAAGCCTGGCGTTTCTGATTCGACGAGGACTGGAAGCGTGACCGACACAAATGGCGAGTGTGCGGACACAAAGGCTCACTGCTGCACGACGTTGCGGTTGTCCTGTTCCTTCTCGTTCGATTGGACGTGTATATATACATACATTATGGTCGCAACGTCAGCACAAGTCGGAAGCAAAAGACACCACGACATACCTGAGTCGCTTCATTGATCCTACGAGAGCCAACTAACAGCGTGTCGTTTGGCACATGCAATCACAGCAACTTTGCTGTCGCCCCTCCTCGTGTGCTCGCTAGGTTGTCGACATTGCGGCAGGTCTTGCATTGTGTCGCGCTGCAACATGATTGCTGCCAGCAGGTGGACAACCAATCGACTCTGCTGCGTCGGACCACACTTGTCGGACGCCAGTTGACCGTGCAGCATGAAGCGTGACCATCAGGTTTGTTCGATAAGGGGAGAGCCGCAACACAAAGCTGAGGAAAGCAGCCGGACGATAGCTGGTAGCTGTAGTTGTGGCAATCAATCAGAGTCCGTCCACGTGGCCCTTGAGCTCAAACGCATGTACACACGAGCGTCGTATTGTGTCCCACGACCACAACACGACGGTGCCGTGTCTTATTGTAGACGTTCGCTCGCCATGTTGTTTACAACGTGCACAAGACGCTGTGCGCTTAGCGAGCGCTCGTCCAAGTTCTTCTTCCCAACAACTGTCATCACTGCCGCTTTGCAACTATAGCGTCTGTCGATTTGTACGACTCGAAAGTCGCGTGAATGCTCGTAGTCACAGCGTTGGCATCGAGTGCGAGAAGTTGCATTGACTGCCAAGCGATGGGCCCAGTAATTGAAGCGTGGCGAAAAGAAGGTGACGCGTGACCCACGGGTTCGAGCGGCACGTGTTGCCAGTGCGAAGCTGGACGACAACTATCTGGTCATGCGGTCCAGTATCGCCATGTACTCATCTACACAAAGAAGAAGAGGGCCGATGCGTGTCGGAAACTGCTTGGACCGTATACGTTGCTTCGGTCTGCTGAAGTTTGGGGTACCTGCTTTACTACGGGTTTCGCTTGCTCGATTAACCGTTACAGAGCCTGCATCAATGTTGCGGTGAGGACGAGGTGTATACCCTTCGGGTCTCGAGAAAACGGGCAATCGACTGTTCGAGCTGTTGTGACCTGAAGTTGTAACGATCGATACACTGCATTGGTCGTTACAACTGGCCACGTCTTCGCCACCGAAGGCGAAACAAGAAAGACTCTGTCAACGACGTGAATGAGAACTGGGTGGCACTGTCTATCCTGTCGGTCCTCAGGTCCGCCTCTCTAGACGCGAACGATATCATTGCGCACCAGGTTAACACGGACCTCGAATATACAGTATATCTCGCTTATACCGACAGATCAATGCACGCTGCAGCTTCCTTAGCCGCGTAAGAGCAACATAACTTGCTATCACCGCGTCTGTGCCGTAAATCGAGAAACACCGACCCTGTTGATATTTAGACATTTTGCACCCCGTTTGCGGCTAGAAAGCATCGACGACTCGACTATGTCTCTTCGTGTGCTCCGGGCGTCCGCGCGCGCCACTGTGGCCCATTCCACCAAGCGCACGACTGCGAATGTTTCCTCGCGTGCCTTCGCAGACGTGGCCAAGGAGGACGCAGCTGCGGCAAAAGCCATTGCGGACGAAGAGGCTCTCATGACGAAGCTGCGCGACCAGCAGATCGCCGACGCCGAGCGCACCAGTGCGTTGCCTCGCATTTGACTTGCGTTTTGTATGCCCCTTTGTTTCGACGTTCAGTCGAGTTGACCAGTGTGATGAACAATCAATTGCTTGTCGTTTTTTGTGCTCAGTTCTGCCGTTCCACGCGTCAGAAGAATGCGTCCCAGACATTGAAAAGGCGCCCATGCCGTACCCAGAAGAGGCTGCGATCGTGTCGGGTACGGACAAGTGGTCGGTGGGACGCAAGGCCAAGCTTTTCAAGCCGGCACGAAACCAGATGCAAAGCGGCACTCACCAGACCAAACACTGGGAGATCCGCTTCGAGTCCCCGCGTACGTGGGAGAACCCCCTCATGGGCTGGACAAGCACGGCCGACCCGTACGTGGGTCTCGTCACCAAGTTCGATACCAAGGAGGAGGCTGAGCGCTTTGCAAAGAAACAGGGATGGAAACTGGAGATCGTTGAGCCTGCGCCAGTCGGTGACTTCCAGGGCAAGATCTCGTACTCGTACAACTTTTTGCCCGAGCACGTGGAGACGCTCATCAAGCAGAAGGGCAAGAAGTCGGCCGTGCAGTTCAAGCACCCAACCGGTCGTCGCAGTAACTGGGTGAAGACGCTGAAGTACCACGGCGACGGTGTCGTGGCGCAGCACGGAGGCGAGGCTCAGGAGTAATGTACGCTCGCCGGACACGGCCACGAGGGAGAAGCGACGAAAGGAAGGAGCGATGCTGCGTGTTGGATGATCGGCGGCTGAAACAAAGCAACGTCTCGCACTTTTGCGTCATGGCTTATGGGCATTTGGGACACTCACTGACCAATGTTCGGATCCGACGAGGCGAAAGGCGTCAACACGTGCCAAAGGGGGATGCAGTAAAAGAAGCTGAAATATACACATGCAGCTTAGCACTTACTTTCAAGTCCTATGCGCTACGCTTTGCCGTTCTGGCTAGACAGACACGTGCGACGGCTGGGCCGTGGTAGCGGTAGACGTGCCAGTCACGGGGACGTGCGCTTGCTTCTGGTTGTAGCGCAGTTCTGGCATGGCTTCCAGATCCGCCTCCTCTTGCTGTGCAGCCATGGAAGAAGTCGTGCCTGTCGGCTTCATCATCGTGGCTTTGTACGCAGGATGCTGCCAATGATAACAAAAAGAAGCACCGCAAAGACTCCGTGCGTGAGACCAGAGAATGCCGGCAAGCTCAGCCTCTTTCTTCACATGAAACGCACCTTGTTGATCAGAAAGAAGTTGAAAAGAGCCAGGAAGAAGAAGCACAGTCCAATGATCCAGCCGATCCAGCCCTGCGACACGGCAAGGAACGCAATGCTTGTATACACACACCACCACCACCACCACCAAATCAACGTGTGAACACCGATCCTTCCAGCGAAAATCGCCACCGTCGCCACGGCAGCAGAGACACACACATACACACCTGAGAATGTACGACGCTTTGCCTTTGGCCGAGAACATAAAGCCAAAGTTGATCTTCACGCGGTCTGCGAGGGACGGAAACCGCTCGTGGTTCTCGACAAACGCGAGTCCTGCACTCAAGAACCTGCCGAAAAGGACACAGAAAGCAAACAACCTCAGACCGTCAGCGGCTACACGTCTTCACACAGTGGACCGCTACTTCTACGACTACGGTCACGACTTTCGACTGCGCCAAGATAAACAAGTGGCAGCGTATATATACCCAGCCAGGAAACTGTCCAACTGACGTACATGATGTAAATAATCACGAGGAAGTGCGAGTAGCTGGGCACTTGGAACATGCGAAAGAAGCACGTGACCCACAGCGCGCCCGAGAACACGAGGTTCACGAGCCGCATGTAGCCATTGATCCGTGCAATGTCCGTGGTCGAAATGCGGCGCTCGAGCTCGTCCGTGTGCCCCTTAATGGCCGCGGGCATCTGCACTTGCGAGAGCTGCGACTTGAACTGCGACGACATCTGGTGCATCATCAGCGACGCCGACGATTCGCTCGAGTTGCCAGCGCCCGACGCGTCGGCTGCTGCGGGGGCTGCAGGGGAAGGGGTCGGCGCAGGGCGTGCGGCCGTCGTCGACGGGTCCATCATGTCGAGCACTTTCTTGGAAATGCCCGCGTCCCGACGAAAAGACGCGGGGGGAGCGAGCCATACAAATCGCTAGATGCCGAGTTTAGCGCGTCACTCGCCCTTTGGAAAAGCACCGTCAAGGTTCCCAGCGCACCAGAGACATGACCACCAGCAGCTTCGCACTTACGGTTGGACCAGGCGAACCATTCGGCGCGTTCGGATTGGCCAGAAATCGCGAACCGCGAGCGCCTATGGACGAGACCCTCCAGAAGTCGGTCGCCGCGTCCGTCGGCGCGGTCGTCACGTCGTGTGTGGTGCGTGTTGCCCGCTCCCAGTCCGTCTTCATTGCTAGTCGTCCTGTAGTAGTGATCGTCGTAGTAACCTATCGGCTGTTTGCGTGGCGCAGATTACGCGTACGGTCGCGCTTTGGTCTCTTTTGCTGCAGACTGTTATAGTGCATTCTTTTTCTCCATTCTTTTCTCTGTGTGTGTGTGTGTGTGTGTGTTTGTTTCACGACTAAATCAGTAGTGCGCGTGTGTGTTTATAGCGCTGGAAGTGGTCAAGACGCGCTTGCAGGTGCAGGCGCCATCTGTCGTCCACGCGACTCCTGCCGTGCTAAAGGTCGGCAACCACTCGAGTCGGACACGCGTTCTGACTGCTGTAGCCACTTGTCACGTATCGTTCATCAATTGATCGGTCTGCGCAGTGTCCGTACTACAGTTTCTCCAATGGGCTCATGGACACGATGCTGCCCAAGCAGCGGCTATTGAGGCAGTGCAAGTGCTCGCCACAGCAGATCTGTTGGCCCGCCAAGCCCGACAGTGTGTTGCACACCATGGCGCGCATTGTGCGGCTTGAGGGCCCGCTGGCTCTGTACGCTGGACTGCCGCCGACGCTGTTGACCGCCGTGCCCTCGACGGCCGTGTATTTCACGTCGTACGAGCTTCTCCTCGAGAAGCTACAAGAGACGTACCCGGAGCAGTCGCATGGGCTGCTGGCAATGGCGGCTGGCAGCACGGCCCGTGCCGCTGCTGCTACGATGTTCTCCCCGTTCGAGCTCATCCGCGTGCAGATGCAAGCTTTCGCCAACGCACTCCCGTTCACGACATACGCGCGGCAAGTGTGGCAAGGAGGTGCACGGCAGCTCTTTGCAGGACTGGGCGCGACGCTCGCGAGGGACATTCCGTTCTCGGCGTGTTACTGGTGTGGCATTGAGACCTCAAAGAGATACTTGTCGAAGCGCGTGCCGAGTGCCGACGACCGTCAACAGCAGGTCGCCATTGCACTCGTGTCGGGCGTGCTGGCTGGAACGCTCGCGACGCTCGCAACGCATCCACTCGACGTGGTCAAGACACGGTCTCAGCTACTGCTCTACTCGACAGACGCGGCTTCTGTGCCGTCAATCCCGCAGCTGGTTCGCAAGGTGTGGACAGCAGAAGGCGTGCGGGGACTGACGGCTGGACTCGTCCCACGCGTCGTGAAAGTCGCACCGGCCTGCGCCATTATGCTGTCGTCGTACGAGGCGACGAAACGTGCGTTCAGCCCGCGCTGACAGTGACGGGGTGCAGTAGTGCAGGGGCTCGTTGTCGATAGATCGATAGATGGATAGATACATACATACCGCGGACGACAGCCACGTCATGCGACTGCTGCACTGCAAATGGAAACCAGAGAACCAATTAACCAGAGAACGAGAGAATCAGAGAAGCAGATGGACACTACTTACGCACACACATACGCTCGAGCAGTGCCTCTTGTCGCCGGTAGAAGCTGTTGCGTCGCCCCAGAGGTGTGGGACACGTCCAGATGGGCGATGCGTAGATCCGGAAGCAAAAGGTCACGTAGCCGCCGAACGTGTGGCTGGCGGGCCCTTTTGACCGCCGCACGACCGCCTGCTGCTGCCTCATCAAGTGGGGGCCGCGCCCTGGCGGCCGGTTGCGCGACGGCTGTCTTCCGCGCGGACGCGTTCGGTCGGCAGCGCCTCGCGGCCATAGGACAGCGAGTTAGCTAATGAGCCTCTGCGGCCGCTGATGGACCACCTGCTGGCGGCGAGAGAAGAGGCGCGCGGCTTTCTGTGCTGACTCGATGGTCCCTACGACAACACATACCCTCGCAATGAGGCGCTGGCGTGGAAGGGATCGCCCCACCTCGTGGCCGTTCGACGGTCCCTGTGCACAGCTAATGTCGCGGCGCTGCCTTCTCAAGCAGAGCAGAGCAGAGCAGATGGAGAGAGAGAGAGAGCGAGCGAGAGAGGAGAGCGAGTGACCGGTCTTGACGACTCGACCGATCAGGTCAATTGGCAATTCACGCGGCGCGTAGACGAACGACCCGAGCGGTGTGGCTCGATCGGCGACGCACAAGGACCTCGGGGGCACGAATGGCGCAAGAGGAGCGAGTGCTGCAGCAACAGGACGCGGTGCACGAGCAGCAAAAGACGTTTGACGCTTCAGGGAGTGGCGCCTCCACGTGTCTTACCAGCTCGCTCCGATCGACAAAGCGCGTGCTGGAAGCTGGAGGTGAGTCGTTGCCACGGCGCCGCTCATCTCATCCGTCCTTGGCCTCGTGGCGGCGTCGGAAAAAGCGATTGCGCAGCGTGCAGGCCCGAGTCCCACTCATCTCCGTCACGTCACTGTACAATCGGCTGCAGACTTCGGGTGTCGTGCTCGTGGATTGCCGCAAGGGCGTCGAGTTCTCTCGGGGCCATCTCCCGAATGCGCTGCATTGCCCTCATGTCCATACAGTGTCGCGTTTCTCAGCGCTAAGCTGTGTCGGACAAGTAGCAAAGACGGTTGACGACGTGCTCGAGCTTACTGCGAACGAACTGCTGCGCGAGAAGTTGAAGAGGAGAGACCTTATTGAAGTGGTCGTTATTGGCGGTAATCACACGAGTGCGTCCTTCCTGTATCGACTGGACTGGGGCTACCGCTTTGCTAAGATGCTAATGGATGAAGGTCGCGTCTATTCGGTGCGATTTCTTGCGCAAGGGTTCCCAGCATTTGTCGACAAGTATCGCTTTCTGGTGACGTCGGCTTCCATGCCGAGATGTTCCGAAGAGCCTTTGGTCAGTGAAGTCATCACCATGGACTCGACGTTCACACGTTCTGCCGCGACAATGCACTTTCCGAACGAAATTGCTGACAGGTTCCTCTATCTGGGCAACTTTTGGCAAGCCAACTCGGCCAAGGTCATTGAGTCCTTGCAGATCACGCATGTGGTGAACATGGGGGCTATCACTGTCCATCGGAACAAGTTTGCGCACGTAGAGTACCTCGACGTAGCCATTAAGGACAATGTGGACGTCGACATTGCTCAGGAGTTTGACCGCACGATCGAGTTTATTCAGAAAGCGGCACTGGGCAATGGTCGCGTGCTTATTCACTGTGTCCAAGGCGTCTCGCGCTCGTCCACGATCTGTATCTGGTACGTGATGCTTCAGACCAAGTGTACGCTGTCAGCTGCCTACAGCCACGTGCTGAAATGCCGGCCTCTAATCTTTCCTAATCGAGGCTTCATGGCGCAACTAATCGCCAACGAGCGACAGCTTTACGGCGACCAAAGCGTTATGGAGGATGAACTGGAGCTGTTTCAAAATGGTCTCTTGCCACCCGTGGATCGCAGCGGCTCGGAGTTATGCCTCACTTTTCTTCCGTAACCCGCTCGCTGATTGAACGTGGACTGACACATCTGAGTGCCGTGCCAATGAATTTATTATTCAAAACACACACCGCTGTCGTTACGGGAACCCATCTTGATACCTGTGCCCTACACGCACGTCTTGTTTGTCCATGTCGCGGTGACCTAAACAGCCACATATCGCGTCGCATGCCAAGCAGCACCTATTGGAGTCGACCACTCGCCCGCTCGTGCGTGCCATCACACCATTCTTGACCGCGCCAGCCGTGCAATGCTTACAGCAGTGCATGCAACCAGAGGACAAGTCGATGATCGTAGCAAGTGAGCACATTCCCACTCTCGCAGCCGTGACTGGTTATCGAATGGCTCACCGCGGTCGGCATCATTTGCCGACCAGGAACCAGACAACAGGTCGCTACGATGCTCGTTGATTCGCACCGACTCGTTCGAAATGAAGAGCTACTGCAATGGCGGCAACGCTTTGGAGCCATCCGACGTAGGCCTACTTTTGTGCAATGCGGTACGCAACAAAGCGCTGGCACGAAGATCCAACATAGCTGTACCCCCAATCGCATGAACGATTCATGTCGCTCTGCTGTTTCAACACATGCTGCATGAGTGCACTCGCTAGGACGTACTGCGGGTCGCAAAACCCGAAAGCAGACACGCTTTGCGATGTTTTCGACGCGGCAAGAAAAGGTGTTCCGTTTGAGGACTTTCACGTAGACCCTTTTGCTTGCTCTGTGGGCGCTCGCTCCAGAGTCAAAACAACAACGTTCCTCAGCAGCTAGTCGCTTGAAGAGTTTTCATTGCAGTGAAACATCGGGTGCATGATTCTACAGCGATCCAAGAGCTGGAAGCGACTAATGCTACTGGCCAGCGCACTTGATGGCAGCGTTCGTAATGGTTGCAACCTCAAGTAAGCTCAATAGCACGAACGATCGCCCATGTCGCATGCGTGTTGTTGTTGTCGGGCGTATCACTGGCTTACTACTGTATACTGTCATGTCAAAGGCTCTCCGACCATTGCAACACATGAGGTACGTCTGACTTTCATTGCCCGAAACTTACGGACATTCGTGTGTCTGGAAAGCGCAGGCAACTACACCACGCAACACAACGCTTAGTTGAATGGAAAGATGAGCTGTGCTCAGGACAATGAAAGGCGTGTCGTACAACCCGTTGGGTCAATCTACTTGAAGGAATCACGTCGAAGTGCCGACATGCGTGTCGACAATCTACTCGTCGCTTGTTTCGCGCGTCCATCTGTCATCGATCGACACACATAGCTGTGCTGTCCAACTGAACGACCTGTATCGGCTCATAAGGAACAGCGTATCGTCAACTGCTGTCTCCTAGCGCCTCCAAAGACAACATTCTCGCGCTCGCATCCCTGCGCTACGACAACTTCCACACTGACAGTTGACTGAACGTCAATGTCATGCAGAGGGCTCGTTTTTCCGTGGCCGATAAACGTTCACAGCTTTTGTAGTTGACCATTTCGTTGGGAAAAAGAGCCGAGAATGACTTCGGCATGAGCTGGCGCGAAGACCAAAGGTGAGTGGAGCTGGCGCGAAGACCGAAGGTGAGTGGAGCTGGCCCGTGGTCGAGTGGTCCACACGCTGCGACCAGAAGCGCGAGCTTCTCCCATTCCGAACTCTGCCCGCTTCGGTTGGACCGCGCCATGCGTCTGCTTTGGCCTCTGTTGACGGCCACCGGTATCTCTCTGTCGATCGCTGCTCGCTCAACGACCGCGAGCGGTGGTGAAACCGATGATGCTCCTCGATACTTGCCCGCCGTCGTTTCCCCCCCCAAGATGAACGCGTCTATCGCGCTGGAACTCGTGAAGGCCCACAGCGACGAGGAAAGGGGCGAGTCCCTGCTGACACCTCTGCTCGAACTATTGAGCAAAGTGAAAAACGGTATCCGGGCTACAGAGCACACCCCACTGGCCATGCTCAAACGGTTGAAGATCAAAGCAGGAGAGAACTCGGAGCATGCCTTTGATCAGCGTCTCAAGCAGTGGTTTCAAAAGGTTGATACGCATCGTGCTAAGTATCCTGAATATACGGTGCAGAAAGAGGTTGAGGACTTGCTGACGCTGATGGATGCCCGTGAGCTGGCGAAGGTCTTATACCGGTTTCGAAAGGTCCACAATATGCAGAGTCGCGTTAACGGCCTACAACAAGTGCTTGCCGCGAAAAATGATCGAGCCGTATATGACCTGATTCCTGTATGGCTGGACGACAGAGTGCCCCCTGACGAAGTCTTCGACATGCTGCCTGTCGCAGCGATGGAGCGAATAATCGATCGTAAAAAGGAGTGGGAAAGGCGAGTAGTCGTCCACAAGTGGCTCCGAACGTATATAGGCTATGTCGCCAAGTATGTTGGGCGCGGTCTGTCGTACGACGACGCTGCTGTAGTCACGAAACTGGTGGAAAAGAGAGGGGAAGAAGAATCGGTGGATTTCTTGTTCACTCTGTGGGGTTATAATGGTGACAAGGACCGCGCTAACAGCCTCCAGAGTACGCTTGGCGTGAAATACCCGAGCACAGTGGAGCTGATGTTTGATGAGTGGCTGGAGTTCGATAGGTATCCCAGCGATGTCTACGATATGATGCCCATTGGAATCAATCAAGTCCTCACAAAGAATCCACTAAAAGAGCGCAAGTCGTGGCACGTCATCGATTCTGCACTCACACCGTGGGTTACGTATGGCGTGAGATTCAACAAGAAACATGGGGTTCACGCGCCTGATCTCAGTGTAGACCAAACGAAATTTTACGATTTCGTATCCTTCATACTTCGCGAGCTGAAGTCATGCAACGAACCACAAGACTTGGTGGATTATGTCGAACATTTTCGGTCCGTCAAAGAATTGGCTTTTCTCGCTCCAAAGCTTCAGCGACGTATGCTCCTAGCGGAACATAATGAATACGAGCCTCTAATCTTCAATGCGTGGGCGAAGTCAAAGCTGGATCCTCGTATCGTGTACGATTCGATGCCCGTTGCATCAATTTCCACATTGGGCATGATAGTTGCACAAGGACTGGAACACGAGTGCGAACGGATCGAGCAGTTGCTGAGGTACGTTGACGATGTCCGAGTTCGCGAGTCCTTCAGCGACAAGCTAGTGATTGAACTACTGCTGAGTGGAAGAGCCACGGTGGATGCATTGCGGCATTATTTTAAAGCGCTTGGAGAACGTGGCAGGAAGGAACGCTCTGGCCTACTGCTAGAAGCGTTGCATAATCATGAACAGAATCACGCCCCTTCGCCGTAGCGATGGGTGCGCTCGCGTCCCGCGATGCCATCGACAGAATTGTGCCGCGGTCTTTCTGCTGACTCTACGAGAGACTGGTCGAGCCGTTATATCCGCCAGACCCTAGCGGTAGATGCGCGAGACGAACTAGGTCGACTATTCCGTGATCCCCATGAATGCATTTGCCTAGAACGTTGGCCGGTCCCATTGTTTTGTTCACATTGATCGATTTATTTCCATGCTTCTCGGATTCGCAGTCGCGACTGACTGTCTTGCGTCAACCAGATGCATTGCAACAAACGCAGGCTTTTGTCATGGTCTTCGTCGTTTGTCCGACCATCGGCTGCTGTAGCTGCATACGCTGCAAATGTAATCTGCTGCGCCTGTAAACGTGCGCATTCACATTCCTCGAAATCGGTCACATCTCGGGCAGGAAGCCCTGTGACTGCATTTGCCGCCATTGTACTTGCTGGAAGTTTCCAGGCCGACGCATCCCACGAGTCGGCAGATGACAGCAAACGCAAAAGCTACGAAGCACACAGACTACAACACACCACAGCGCTCTGCCACACACCACAAAAGCCGTCAAATCAGCTCCACACTGTCGGACTCATAACGTCATCGTGGCGAATGTGCCAACAACAAACTGATTATGGCGTGACGAGCTCAACATGCTACGTCAACTTCTGCCCGGATCCGCTCGCTTCACTGCTGCGGGGCGGCCGGATGTTGTCCCAACTACTCCCATCACGACAGAAGACGACTTGCACTCATTCGCGCACCCCAAGTCCACGTCTCTCTATTCACCTCCGCTCTTCTCCGCACCGCACAATGACAATAAACACCAGTGACCGGGTCGATCGTCGCGTCCGGCTAGTGTCGTCCACTACAGCTTCGGCATCCAGCGATTCCTTCGCCTCGTTAGCTAGATCAGCACAGCGCGCTCTGGCCGAGGTCCATGACGTCGTCACGGATGTACACGTCGACCAACAAGTCACCACGTTGCGAGAAAAGCCGCTGACCCGAAGCTCTGCGACGACGTCACGAACGTCACGTCAGTGTTGCAGAGTCTAGCTGCACTTCCGTCACAAAAGACTCGAGCACGTGACTTGTACCGCCAGCTCTTGGATACCAAGACACCCTATCGCATGACAGCAGAAGAGCAGAACGAGCTCATGCTCGAAGAGTGGACGAGTGCCATGGCTGCAGCGCGGGCGGAGTCGTAGCAGCTTCGACTTGGACTTGTGCGGGGGCATCAAAGTGGCAGGCGCTACTGCTTTCTTGAGACCGAAGCGGGCGCTAGAGGCACTGACAGCTGCGGCTGGACGGCGATCTTGGTGAGGATGTATGCGCGCTAAGGCACTGCTTGTGGGTTCCACGTTGAGCACATTGACGAGTCGGTGGGAGACAAAGCTGATTTTTGATCGGTTGCGATGCGAATAGAACGTGTATCTGCCTGTCGATGGGCCAAGTGTGAAGCTGCGTATACCGTCATGTGCGCATCGCGTCGTTCGATAGTGCTGGGAAGAGACACACTTTACTCGCTCAAGTGCGTCGTACTCCATGGCTGGTAAAAGCGGCGCTGACAACCAAGTTGAGACTTCCACCCAAAGCCAACCAAGAGCTTACACGTCAATACGTGAAGATCGTCTGAGCCTGGTGGGCAGCATGTAAACCCGACGGATAGTGCGATTCGAATCACACATGTGGCCACGGGCATTGTAGTACAGAGCCAATCCGACCGATCACAGCATCAAAACAAGGCCAAAGCGCCGGCCATGCTTCGAGCGGAGCCATACCACCGAAACTTGACGAAAAAGCTCGAGCCAGGCATGTAGTCACTCAGGATCTTGCGGACAACGCTGTTGGCAGCCACATCCGGTCGATCGTGCTGCATCCGTACCAACTCGCGAAGGACCATCGTACAAAGTACTCGGAGAGTAACACGGCCCGAGTGTTTGGTGGTGATATTCACCGTTTCATCGAGAATCTGCTTCTCCACCAAACCATGTCTAGCGGTCCTAACGAGACACAATCGAGCCGATCGATACGCACTTTACTTCATTTTGCCGGGTTCGTTGCAGCGCCAGTTCCCACTACCAGCGATTGGTATTCGTCACCCATGGTAGACGACAATTCACATCGCTAGTTGGAGGCAGCGTAGCGCGAGAGCCCAAAACTGCTCGTCGCCGAGACGCAGCGCTCTCCAGGACACGTCGAGCGATCTCAGCGAGCAACACCTCGTGCTGTCGAGACGATACAACGTGCGTGTACTCGGCCATGCCCAAGACTTCGCCCACCTTCTTCGTCACCTCATCCAGTTCGTCCCCAGATCAGCGAAGTACAGCGGCGAAGCATGAACGCTTGCTGAAAGAACGAACTCGTTGCTTCAGTAGGACTTTGTTGTTTGCCACGGCTCGCCATCCATCTGCACAGGTGATGCTCCTTTACAGCAAATCTCACAGCTTTCGTCTGACACAAGCGTACAGCCTTCGACAGCCCCACTTACATCTGACCGAGAGCCAACGTGCCGTACACTGCTACAATGTCAAGCATTTTGTCGTGAGGAGAAGAATGATCGAAGTGCGTGCTCGCGTCGGTACTGACAACGCTGCTCGCCCGGCTTTGCTCGTCGTCGTTCTTCTCGCTGCCTGAGTCAGAGTATTCGATATCCGATTCCGCGTCGTTATGCCAAACTTTCGAGCCACCGCCGTCGTAACTAGCAATGCTAAGGAAAATAACGTCCTCTGAGCCACCAGGTAGCGCGATCCGTTTTCCATCGCACACGAGCACAACTTGTCGGGTGAAAACCGGCGCAGGTACGCGCCACTGAGGCGTTGCACCAAATTGACCGTACCACAGCTTGTTCACGAACCGCCACAGAAAGAGCCCCGGCGAGCGCTCACGCCGTTCGAGAAACTCGAGCGCCACCTGAGCATCCAGCGATCCAGACGACTAATGTGGACTGACTCCACTTCGCAGACAATTCCACGCACACTGTTCGAGTTCTCTGATCGCCAACGCCCCAGCCAAAGAACGCATACCCAATCGTTGCCAGTATGTAGTGGTAGAATTGCGATAGGTGGTTGCCGAGGGGACCCCGATCTCGTCCAACGCCCTAAGTATCAAGCCCACGGTTCCGTCTCCGCCGCAACATCCAAACGCGCAGTCGAAACAGTCCAATACACCGACGCACTGGATCAGTGAGGCTCTGGCTTGACAATCGCACACTTGAATGGAGTTGAGCCATTTTCGCGCCTGCCGAAGCACGCGTTACCCCATTTTGCCACCACTGCGACTGCTGATAGACGCCATGAGCGGCGTAGTTTCTTCAGGAGCCTCAACGAGATCATCGGTAGCGCGCCGGATCCACAAACCACGTTCGAAGTAGATGCAAAACGACACGCGTCTTCGCCCAGTCGCAACTTCGCTTTGCAATCGATTCGCAGAAGCAGTCGGCGACTCTGCCGCGCCGTGGACCACTCCACGTCAAAGTCGCATGCGAGACATCTTTGTCCATGCGACAGGCGCACACTGCTCACCGAGTTCAGTGCTCGCTGGGACCTGCTGCCAGTTGACACCGATTCGCGCAGGGCGACCCTCGACAGAAGTACGATACGGTTCGCAGGCCGATTCGACCCACAACGTCGTAGCAGTGGCGGTCGATGTTCACGGCTCAGCGCTCGCTCAACGCCTTCTCCGTGCACTCGCACATGGCACCACGCACACTTCGAGTCCACAAACGCCACGATCCTGCTACGAATCAACCGCACAACGAGCACGACCCTCATTCGGTCATATTGCCCTTGTGTACACGCGTTGCTGCGGCTGTAGCTGTAACCGCTGCGTCAAAGTGGGCAAACAGACTGCCTCTTCGCTGCCACTTGGAACGAACGAGATCGATCGCAACGCGACTCCAATAGCTGTCTACAAAAACAGGACACCGACAACGAAGAGACGGCGGCAGCAACAGCAGCAGCAACAGCAGCAGCAGCAGTAGCACGTCCGGTGGCAGCAGCAGGTCAAGCACGACCCACGCTCTTGTCGGGCAGTGTGCCGGCCACACAGTCTGCGCGCATGCGGCAGAAGTCGCACGCGGCCACGTAGCTGCAGATCCAGTCGACAACCGTTTAACACGCGTTGCACCGCTGCGCTCGGCACTCGAGGAGCTGCCCGAGCGGAACTCCGTTCTTCCTGACAGTGGCCGTCCAGTGCACCGTCGCGATCGCACCACGAGCTGGTGGCAAAGGGAATATGGTAGAAGTTGTCTAAAGTAATATCTCTAAGACACAGGTTATGATATTACTTTAGGCAGGTAATTACTTTAGGCAGGAACAGAAATGTAAAGGAATTTTTTCAAGTGGGAAAAATGGTGCAATCGGCTTTGTTTGCAATTTATTTCTTGCTGCAGCCGCCACCCCCAGTCAACCCCCACCTATATAATAGGGGAGTCCTCCGCCATCTCCCCAAAAAAGGGAGTCATCCGCCATTTCCCAACTTTTCTCCCTCCAACATGCCTCCGAAAGGCGAACATTACACGACAATGACGGACTAGGTCCGCATTGCATTGTGTGAGCACCATGATACGAATCCTCAGCTCAACCAGGAGCTCATCCAGTGGCTAGAACAGAGGAACAAGGTGAAATTCATTCAGCCTACAATCTCAGGCCTTCTTAAGAGGAAAGCGACAATCTTAGCGAAGACCGACAACAGCAATCTTGACGCAAAACGTCAAAGGACTGTTAAGTATCCTCAGATGGAATCTGCTCTCGTTTAGTGATTCCTTAGCCATCAGAAACGCGTCAACGTGAGCGAGGATCTTACCAAAAAGAAAGCAGCCCTTTTTTTGACCACCTATACCCTGGGCATGATGTGTTCGAGTTCTCGAATGGCTGGCCGGAATCATTTAAAGACCGGCATGGAATTAAGTCCCTTCGCCGTTTTGGAGAGAGTTTTCTGTTGACACGTCACTCATCGAGGAATCACTCCCTGACATCCTGAGGACGCTGGACAAGTACGAG